TCATGAGCCAAGGTACCACTGCACCTAAACATATCTCGGAACTGAACAAAACGCATGAGAAAAATATTCCTTCCAAATAGTGTAAAATATAGAATCCCCTCTCTTAATACAGAATAATTGGAAGAGGAAAAGGTGAGCACTAAAATTAATGCTCTACAAATACTTTAGACTGCTGAAACCTTTGCACCATAGGTAGACAACTTGTTTCCTGCGGACATTTTGTTCTACAAACTCACATAAGTGAATGGTAGGGGATGATGGGAGTTCTAAGCCAAAACATCTGGAAGGCTACAAGTTGCCAGGCCCTGCTTTACATATTTTCTTGATAGGAAGTCTAGTTTAACTTGGTAGTCATTACTTCTCAGGAGATACGCATAGAACCTCACTGTTGGTCTTGAGATATTTCTTAAGCAAAGGATGAGAAAAGCAGGTTATTTACCTCTAGCTGCATTTCTTTGAGTGATTGTCTGTGCATTCGCACATATGTACTTTATGCCTGTTTAGAGCCCCATTTGGGAAACTTCTGTATTTGCGGAATTTTTGGTGGGACCCCTCCCCTATCATTGTCCATGTTTCTGGCAGGCTCCTGTTGTTCCCTCAATTCCTTCAGACTACTATTTTTTGTGACCTTTAAATCAGGAAGAAACTTAGTACCAGCATGAGCATTTCCACTAAAATGAGGCTAGCGTGTGAGTTCTGTGAATGCACAGATTTGTCACTTGTAGAAGCTTTGTTGCTGAGGCCTCAGGATGTGGACAAGGTGTTTGGTCAATACTGGCCAGCCACTTATGTGCTTGACCTTTGCCCTTTATGGCTTATGAAATCTAGTAGGGAGGGGATGTCTTAAGTCCATGAGATTGTCTGCTCCTCTTTGAGAGGGAGTGATATTGGCCACATCAAAGGAGGCAGTTATACAACCTGAAACTGATATTTGCACTGGTTTGTTCAAGTAGTCATGGACACCACCACCCTAGCTGGCTATCACATTTCAAAGCAATTGCACTATGCACATGGCATGCTTGTAAAACCTACAGGAATGTTCTGTCCCCTAGGGATTTTTGATAGAAACTAGAAAAATCCCATAGAAGTGCACAGAGAGTGAAAGAGATCAACTCACATCTCTTTAATCTCATCTTCTGACATAGACATGATTGTAATTGGGTGTTCCATTGCTACTCTGATGGTCAATACCATCAGTATCAATGAATTCAGCATTGGTGCTAAAGCAGGAATGGTCAGAAGCACAACTGGCACTGTGCAAACCCAATGCAGTACGGAGTCATCTACTTTGTCTCCTTTTTCTTCTTGTGGTCAGAGTTCTAGCAGTTGTGAGCAAGTTTCTCTCCCTCTTTTCTTTTCCAGCAGATCAAAACAAAAAGCTTACAAAATACTATCTTTTATTGGAGCTGGGTGTAGCTTCTGCCCATGGGAAGAGTTGGTTCCAAACTGGAATGGTTCTCTCTTCTCTGCCTTTTCCCAGAGTCTGCACTTCACCCTTAGAGTAATTTATGCTGCTTGTGCACCAAACATTTCACAGTTTTCTTTGTCCATTTGACCCTTCCTCACTGACTCTGAATCATTGTCCTCCCTCACTTGTTCTCTAGTGTCTTCTCCATGCCTAAGATGGATTGGTTCTCACTCACTGCTGGACTAATCTCACCTGTTAACCTTGACTCTTCAGAGTCACCTGCCAGGCCCTCCTTTTCTATCTGGTTTATGTTGCATTCTGAGTATGAACTGTCTGGCTGGAAATGCAGTACTGTAGGAAAATTGGGCCCCATCTCCACTCTAGCTATCTTTGATTTCTAAGTTTTTGTTTTTGCCTATCGAACATGTCTGTAAGGGGCCACATATAAGTAGGGCAGTGTGGCGTACAACTAAAGCCTGACTTAGGGTCAAGGTGGACCCTGATACTTGTATTGATGTGGCAAAGCAACAAAAGTTTCTGAAGGTCCATATAAGGTCACAGGTAAGGCATGTACCATAGATTTCTTTAGTACTTCTACCACTTCAGAGGCTTTATTCCAAAGTACCAAATGAGGCCTGTCCAATAGATTTATCTGGGCTTGCTTTGTAAAACCCTGACAATGAATACAGAAGTCCATTTCACATTCTTCTCCAAAACAGAAAAGGTGGGCTTACGTATAAAAGGGGGTTCATGGGGCAAATGCCATAAGATGGTAAAACAAACTCAAACATGCCCCCCAAAAAAAAGTTAGATGAAAGTGAAACTAGAAAGAAAGATTGACAGATTAAATAAAAGCCCCTCCATTTTCACTCACTAGTCCTGAATGGCAAGAGAAGTTCCCAGCAAGACTATCACAATGGTGGTTGAAAAAGGACCAGAGTAACAGGCAGGAACCTGGCAGGAACCTGTACAATGGGGCGACAGGGGAAGGTTGCTACCAAATATTCTTCAGCTGTCAGTGTTTCCTGAACAAGGTTTTACACAGGCACAGAGCCCATACGGATGATGCCCAAAGACCACATGGAAGAACCCATGTGTACCTTTTTATGTATGTATGTAATTTCTGTACCACCTGTACATACTTTGCATTATGCACTATATGATCGGTGTCTTTAATACCTTAGTGTATTAGTATAGAGATTTGTATATGGCAAAATATTTGTGTTTCTGTAGTATCTGGGTTGGTTCAGAACCTTTTTACCAATAGAGCTATCATGGAGGGATCTCTAGTGCATGAGACAAAGTGCATTAATTCTGTGAAGTTTACTAGGACTTGTATCTTTGAAACATTTTCTCTTTTGCAGAATCCCAAATGGTTAAACCTTCATTTCAAGCTTCCAATTAGATTTGGAATTTAAATAACAAATTCAAACCATTAAATAACTTTTTCTAAAGAGGGGCCAGAAAAATAACATTTTCTAGAGGGGGCCAGTTAACAGGTGCCAGCAGTGGGTGCGGGCCACCAAGGCGGTGCTGGCAGGGTGGGGGGTGCAGGCTGGTGAGGGAGTGGGGCATGCACACATGCACGCGAGGCGAGGCGGGGATGGGGGAGCGTGGAGTGAGGCGCCAGCTTGCTTGCGAGGAGATCATTTTCTCTGATCGAGTCCAAAACGACCTCCCCACAAGCAAGCTGCCGCCGGGCGCCCACGGTGAGGCACTGGCTTGCTCACGAGGAGATTGTTTTTCTCCGAGCAAGTCCAAAATAACCTTGTGAGCAAGCCGTGTGCCCGTACATGCCTGGTGAGTGCAAAACCTGTGGGGCAAGCTGGTTAAATGGGCATAGTGGGCCAGATCTGGCCCGTGGGCCTTAGTTTGAGGACCCATGTATTAGAGGAACAGACTGAAAGTAGAGTGCCTTTAAATTTGAAGTAATTTCATGTCTTTTTCCTCAAAGGGATATTTCTTACCACGAATTTCACGAGTGTTCCACCATTACGAATATCTCATTCGTCAGAGTTTTGATGTGTGGACACTTAGCAGTTCTGTGAGGTAGGTCCTTATATATGTTTAAGATCAACACCCTATAAACCTCATTTGTATTAGTTCCAAGAAATATTTTAGTTGGAATATATGTAACATGTGTGGCTGCTTCCATACTGGCTATATTGCTTTGTCTCCTACGGCTGTTTTTTGTGGGATATCTATACAATGTTATCATAACATTATTGCCTTGTGTGTTTCCCATTTTTTGCCAAGCCCTCCACCCAATCTAACTTTAAAAAAGAATGCAACAGTAGTGCAATCTCTGCAGGTATCGGCCATTTCAGCTCTATTCTTCTATCTGTTTGAAGATCTGTGGTTCGGATGTACAGAGAGAGATTTCAGGATTGAGCCCTGCCACTATGCCACTTTACCATGCACATCACTACAGTTTTCTTACACCCAAGAAGGGAATAGGAAGGTGACTGGGTTGGATAGACATACAAGGGAACTAATTTGTTTGGAATGGGACCAGGCTGTAATAAGCTTGGCCAGAGGAACCACAGGTAGTTGCTCGAGAGAATGATGGAAAAAAAGATAGGAAAAGAAATAAGGCAGGCAGAAGCAGAAATACTTCTGATTCTAAACAAGGTAGATAGAAGGATCCTTCTTCAGGGTCTGCTGAGATCTGGTAGTTTGTTGCTGAGGTCAGAGCAACAGGTTTGCATGCATTGTGCCTTACAAATTAATGACTGATGAGACAATCTTTGATAACAAAGTGAAAAGTTCTTATTTATTTATTTAAAACTTTTATATGCCGTCACCGCATGCCTCGGCATCTCAGGATGGCTCACAACACATACAATTAAAAACAATAAAATAATAACAGATTCCATTAAAGATTACATAAAACAAAAAGAGCATCTGTTAACGATAAAATATTAGTTTTTAAAATAGCAATTAAATAAAAAGGTTTTAATCTGTCACTGAAAAGAAGATAAACTCAGTGCCAGGCACACCTCTTCAGGGAGTGCATTCCATAATCTGGGCACCACCGCAGAGAAGGTCCTGCTCTGGGTAGTTCTTTTTATCGCCTTTAAAGAGGGCTCCTGGGGCAAAGCCTCTCCCACAGATTTTAAGGGGCATGAGGGCATGTAAGGGAAGAGGCGCTCCTTCAGGTATCCTGGTCCCAAGCCGTTCAGGGCTTGATAGGTTAAAACCAGTGCCTTGAATTGGGCCCGTACTTCAACTGGAAGCCAGTGTAGCTGGTAGAGGACCGGCATTATATGAGAATAACGACTGGTCCCCGTCAGCAACCTGGCAGCTCTGTTCTGTACCAGCTGAAGTATCCGGACTGTCTTCAAAGGCAGCTCCACGTACAACGCATTACAATAATCCAACCAGGAGGTTACCAGAGCATGAATCACCGTTGCTAGGCGGTGCTTGTCCAGGTAAGGCCACAGCTGGTGGATCAGCCGAAGCTGTAGGAAATCACTCCTTGCCACCGCTGCCACCTGGGATTCCAGTGACAGCTCTGGGTCAAGGAGCACTCCCAAGCTGTGGACCCTGTCCTTTAGAGGGAGTGCAACCCCATCCAGTCAGGGAAATGGTTGTGACTGTGAATAGTCTAATCATAGATTTGGAAGAGGTCTATAAGGCCATTGAGTCCTACCCACTGCGCTGCTTCAGCCCATCCAGCTGCAAGCCCACACCTTTCCAGTTTAGCAAAGGTGACTCAACATGCTAGCTTGATGTATAAGTATGTAGACAGGCTTATGTGAGAGCAAGTTCTCAATGTGGCAGCTATGGGGACATCCAGTGGTGTCCACAAAACTTTGCACTCCATGTCCTCCTTCCAAAATTTATTTTAAATGCTTGGAAAATGTTAGAAAGTCAAGTGTGGAAATTGGGCTCATTAGTTTTGCAGTAGAGCCTCAAAGAAACATGGAATCAAAGCTGATTCCGAGGAAGAGGGAGGAGTAGAAAATGAAGAGCCAAAATGGGGGAGATGGAGGTAAGGGAAGGAGTAGAAAGTTACAGTGTTCCTGAAATATTGGGAAACCAGAGCCTTTCTGAAGAGACCCAAAGATGTCAATTAAGGAAAGGATAACAATGAAAAGTTATAAGGCATTCTAAGTGGTTAACAAAACAAGAGCCACCTTGAAGGCTTGATTTTAAGATGCTGTTTCCTGGGAGAGCTTAGTTGTCTTAAGTCTAATTAGTCTAGAATCAGCTTTCATCTGGTCTTGTTAAATTAATGAACTGATTCTCTAGCATTGTAATGCAACATGTTTATTTTTTAATGAGTTCCCAATCTCAGAGAGGCATCTGATTTGGTTCTTTGTGTGTCAGCTGCAAGTGAGTGAGGGGACCAAGGCATAGATTCTTTGCTTCAAAGTTGGAACTCCATTTCCAGGCTTTGAACTGGGAGTGTGATGTGTCCTTTGGTCCCCTAGACAATGTTTAAGGGGCTACAGGATCACGCTCTAAGAGTATTTTTCCCTATGTGAAAAATTTATTGTACACTTGTTATTCTTTGTTGTGGTCTCTGTGCATCACACATATAGGTGCTATGCCTGCACAGTGCCTATTTCCAGGAAGATTCTCTCAGCTGTAACAGTTTTTGGCGGGAACTCCCCTCCGCCTTGTATAGATGGGCAGAGTCCCCGCCCTCTCGCCAGCCTGCTTTCAACTGCTGTTCTAGGTGCCTCAGGTTCTCCCTTTTGTTGCATTCCTTCACAAAATCTACTTACCTCACTTGTCTTAAAACCTAACTTATAACATTATCCCAGATACTTTACCTCCTCAATCCCTAACCTTCACCACAACAAACCTTCCTTCTCATTTCCTTTCCATTTCCCTTTCCCCTCATGAACCATCCTCCTCATAAAAAATAACTCTTCTATCATTTCTCTTACCCATATTTCCTCGTTACTTTCTCTCGATGTCCCAGCATTCTGCTTTCTGAAGGTGTACTCAGTGTGGAGCGAGGATGTTGCCCACCAATACTCATTTGCCTTGCTTGATCGGTCTTGGTGAGGGCCATTGTGTGGACAAATGTGTTCATTGCCAGGCTTGCAAAAACTGGGAGAATCGCCTCAAAAAAATCCTTTGAGATAGAGCATTGTTGGTGATGAGAGAGGCTACTGCAGCTCCACCTGCTGGCTTTTCTGCCTCCGAGGGAGGCGCTCCTCATACCAAACAAGGGGAGAGCTCTAGAGCCAAGAAAGAGTGCTTGGGATGGTCTCAGTCTCCAAAAAAATGAAAGGAGAAAAGGAAGCATCTCAAGACTGCTTAGGCAAAGTGTCCCAAAAAGGATAAGCCAGAGAGAAAGCATAAGAAACACTTGCTTGGCACAGAAAGATCTGCCATTGTATCCTGTGATGGCAATAAGTGACTCGATACCAAGTGAGCCTCTGGTTCATCCACCATTGATCCTCACAACACTGCGACCATCTCCATGTCACATACCAAGCCCTTCTCCACAGCCGTCTCCGAGACCTTAATTCAGCCGGGTCGAGTCTCAAGCTCTGAAACTGATGGTGTGGACCTCTGTATCAAGAGGGAGAAATTTGGGAGTCGCCTATTCACTCTGCAGCTCTTTCTGAACGTTCAGTGCAATCCATTCATGAGCACCACAGCACCACGAACTGACCCACCCTCCCACTCCTACTCTCTATGGGCATTTCTCCCCAGACACCTTACTGGGATCGATCCACCAGCCTCCTCCTCCTCCTCTCAAAACTGAACCACTTTGTTAGGAGAGGAGCCGATACTGGATGCCACCCTTCATATGGAGGACTCAGACCTGGTGGTTATGGCCCTGGATATCCATGGGAATACTATCCACACTATGGATACCCATTACCACCACCACCTCAAAGACAACCTCCTACACACTTGCCACCAACATCTCAGGAACTTCCGGCTACCTCAGTGAACACCACCACTCATCTGGAAAAATTGTTGGCACAATCTTCTTCAAGTGCTGCTTACTATTCAGAGTAGGATTCAGAGGATGCAGAACAAGCATCATCATCCCCTGACCTTATGATATCGACTCAAGGCCTGGAATCACCTGGCGAAAGTATGGGACGTTTCTTTGAACTGCTGGTCCGTATGTTCATATCGCTTGGAATCAGTATTCAACAGCAAACAGATCCAGAACAGGACAACATCTAGGACATCATCAGGACAGAGGATGCAGTCCCAGTGTCTCTACCCTTAACATCTACTTTATGTCAGGCTCTGATGGAGCCTTGGGAACTACCTAACCACCCATATCCTACCTCCAGGCACCTTGAGTTGATGTATAAAGTCAGAGAACAGGACACTCCATTTTTGCTGTGACACCAGCATCCCAGCTCGGTGATCATCGAGTCCACTCCGGGTTTACAGACAAGAGAGAACACAGCACTGACCGATCATGAAGGAAGGCAAATTGACATGATGTCTTGCTGAATCTACTCTGCCAAGGGCCTTAGTCTTAGGATCTCAAACTATGAGGCCACTATGGCTGGCTACCAATATTTTCTCTGGCAGGAAATGGAATTGCTTGCTGCATTTCTCCCTGACCGGCAAAGGGACCTGGCCAAACTCTTCATCAGCAAGACAATGTAGCTCTCCAAGCAACATCTAGCAACAGCGAGGCATCATGTCAAATGTGACTCCAGGGCGCTTGTCGGTGCAGTGGCTCTCAGATGGCATGCATGGCTCCGGGCTGGTAATCTTCCCCATGAGACCAAGCCGTGAGTAGAAAACATGTCCTTTGATGAGACTGGACTTTTCCACTTGAAGACTGACGAAAAGCTTGATTCTATTCATGAGCTTGAAGGATGGTGTGAGGTCCGTCACAGCAACATCTCCATACGTGGCCATGGAATAGCCCAGATAGAACGTTGACACTGATTAATGCCAGCACTGAGGGGTAGCGCAAACCTTTCCTCTTGTCTCTCTGAACTCACCACTCCCATTTGGGGATAGACTGCAACATCATCTCCCCATATGGGATTCCATCACATCTGATCAGTGGGTTCTCTCCATTATAGAACACGGATATAAAAGCAAGTTTGAAACTGTGCTTCCTCTTGGGGCGGTCCGCCACACACCAGCTTCACCAGTCCTGCTGGAGGAAGTAACCGAGCTACTTCATGGTATCGAAGAGGGATGGGGGCATTCGCCCTATCCTAGACCTGTGTGGAATCAACCGATTCATCAAAACCAAAAAATTTAGAATGCCCACACTCCAAAATAATCTTTCGTTGCTTGAAAAAGAGGATTGGTTTGCATCTTTGGACCTAAAAGATGCCTATTTTCATATAGGAATTCATCTGGCACATAGGCACTTCCTAAGGTTCATGGTTGGTACAGAAGTGTATAAGTACAATGTTCTCCCCTTTGGTCTTGCTACAGCACCAAGGGTGTTTACGAAATGTATGGCCCCAGTATGTGTCCACCTTAGACTCCAAGGTATACAGATTTACCCATACTTGGATGATTGGCTACTAGTTTTGTCCTCCAAATTGGACCTTCTAGCCTCAATAGAAATAGCTTGCACTTTACTTCACCAACTGGGACTGTTCATTAATAATGAGAAGTCATCCCTTATTCCTTCCCAGGGGATCACCTATATTGGAGCACATCTGGACTCTACTCTGGTGAGAGAGTACCTGCCTTCGGACTGGAGACAAAGATTTGTGCAATCCATATCCAACCTGATCACCAAACGAACATTCCTGCTCATTCAGCAGGTGCTAGGTCATATGATGTCCATGGGTTTGGTGGTCTTGAATGCGAAGTTGCAAATGAGACTGCTGCAGTTATGTTTCAACCGCAGCTTCCATCCTGAGTGCAATTCACCATACCAACTGCTAGAACCTCCGCGCTTGGTGCCGCAGACACTATCCTGGTGACTAGTCGAGACCAGCCTGACCCAAGGGGTACTGTTCTGACCACCGGACCCAAGTGTGACGCTATATATCAACACATCCCCGACTGGATGGGTGGCCCACTGTGCATCGTTTCAGACTCAAGGCATCTGGCATGGTCACAAGAGAGCGAGACACATCACTTACCTAGAGTTGCTCATGGTATTCAAAGCTCTCTGTACCTTCCAAACCATCTTTGAAGGAAAGACCATTCAGATAGCAATGGACAACATTGCGACCGTGTTCTACATGAACAAACAGGGAGGGACACAACCCACCCGCCGGCCCTACATTGGTGTCGGTGACTGGGTTCATATTTCACAAATTGAATTTCTCTTAAAAACTTGCATTTCCTTGCCGGTACCAGCTGGGGGCGAACAGGCGGTCTTCAGCTGACTGACGAGAGGGCAGGGACTGCATCTGTTTATATGAGGGGGAGGGGGAGCATAGCACCCATATGTGTGAATGCACAGATGACCACTTGAAGAACGACAGTTACAGGTAAGCAACCTGCCTTTTCTTATTCCTAGTAGTTTATGGGTTCTTTTGATGGCTCTGATTTGGGAAGTACCTTGTCTTTCCTGAAATGGCTTATATAGAGCAGTATATCAAAATGAGTGTATGTCGAGGGATACTCTATAGTGACGGGAGATAGGTGTTATACTTTTAAAAATTCCATCCTTCTTGGAAATTCAGATTGCAATGTACTTTAGGGACAGGCAAACTTTAGCCTTTTGGAGTCTACTATATTTTTACTAGAACTCCAAGATCCACCAACCAGATGCTGGTGCAAAAGAAGTAGAATTAAAGAACTCTGAGATGTGCTGCTCCACACCAGCAATCTAGCACAGCACAAATGAAATAATCAAATAGGAGAAATAGTACATTTTAATAATGGTAAAACATGCCAATCAGATAATTGTTACTTTCATAAAACACCCTTCACAGCCCTAACTGGAAAGTTCAAGAGTGATGGAGGGAACCCTATAAAATATTTTGAATTTACAAAAGAAAGGAACAGAGAGGTCATTGGGTTAACCACTTCCTGAAAGGGAAGGCATTCCATCAATTAGTCACATCCTACTTTTTTCAAAATGTTTATCCAGTTCCGTGGGTAGATTGCAAGCAGTTGTCTACACAGGAAATCCAGCAAGTTTCCATTAGCGCTTTGATGAAATTCAACATCTTTAACATATTTTTTCTCTCCTTTATTTTTGTTTGTTTTTATTTGACTTTCCTTCTTAGCGCTGGCATAGAAACAATCTTTAACATAGCATGTAGCTTTGGACTCCGTGACTGTTTAAACCTTGCTTCTGATATCTTCACCAAGTGGATGAACAATCCAAGTCCTGAGTAAATATAGTCTACAATGTATACTTTTTCTGTATAAATAGTTTGTGCATGAAATTAAGCTAACCAGTTAATGAGACAATACAAATGACTTTTGTTTCTGGCAGTCAAAGAAATAAAATCAGCAATATGTTATTTGTTGGACCAAGAGGTAAACTGAGAGTTTTGGGTTTTCATAGAGCTCTTCATTAGCAGAATTTGAAATTCAGAGTACAGAAATGTTGAAACAGTTCTTATATAATTGATCCTTCTAGCATAGAACTGCCTACTATGACTATTAGCTGCTCTCTATTTATACATCTTTTCTAACTTTTATGTCCCTTTAGAGAGAAGCGAGCAACTGTGGGGATTCTAGGGGGCATTTTCCCCAAGCCCAAACTCTTATGCAGGCTGTATTTCTGCCTCATGTGACTTCAGACCATTCCCCGGGTCTATCATTTCTTACTCATTGAACTGAATTCAGGAATGTGCTGAAAATGGCCAATTCCTAATCTGAAATATATATTTGTGGTTGAAGCTAGGTGTGCCTGTCTGCCAAAGCAGCAACATTTGCTAGTTGAACAAATTCTCCATCCTCTTGCAGCCCCCCCCCCCCATACATCCATAAGTCTGACTGGAAGGTTGGGGAACCTTTCAAAGGAAATTCAAGGGGAGTATGGAGGGGCTGTACAGGGAGGGGGAAGAGTTTATGTGTGAGGTGACTGTCACCCTCTCACCTTCCATGTTTTTCTACTTGTATATGTTTTCACAGGGCTATTCCTTGACTTATTAGGAGATACAGTAGTATTCCCACACGTGAAGCTCCCAGTGAGTTTCCCAGTGAGCAAACTCTGATGCTTTACATTAAGAATTCTAGACATCTGTTGTCTCAACTGTACTTTCTTAACACCAATGGAAACAGAGCAATGCTTAGAATGTTTTCAGGCAAAGAAATATGTTCAAGGTTCAGTCCTATGCCTGCGTAGGCAGGAAAAGTCCTGTGACCCCAGTGCCGGGAGTTAATAGACTTTTTCCTAGTTAAACAGGTATATGATTGACCCCTCATTATTTATTACATTTATGTCCTGCTTTTTCCCTCCTTCCTGTAAGGTATCCTCCACTCCATTTTATCCTTACAACAACCATGTGAGGTAGCTTTGGCTGAGTCTAAAGTCATCCAGTGAACTTCATGACTGAGTGGAGACTTGAAGCCAGATCTCCTGAATCCTATTCCAGCAGTCTAATCAGCATACCACACTGGCTTTATAGCAATATCTTGTCTTCAGGGTAAAGCAATGCACACAGACGCCACTTGCAAATGGATACTTGTTTGGCTATCTGGTCTACTTTTACTGAAGTCTGTGTATAGTTCTTAGAAAACTGTATTTTCATATATATGTTTGTATGCATTGAAATAGATATATTCAGCTCTATATGGCTGCATTCTTGTTTCCTTTTTCCCTTTCCCTTTCTTTTCTTTTAAAAAAACTTTTAAAACAAGAAATGCATTGTGCTCTACCAGTTCTAAGTCATATTCTACCTTGCAGCTTTCCTGTTTGTCTTAGCAAAACCATTTGTTGCTATGGCATTCAAACTGGTAGTGAAAAAGAGTGGGATTTCACATGGAAAATGTACAAGCAGAATGATACTAATCAGGGAATGAAATACAACTTGTTCTCTTCTCTAAGCTGTACCCATGAGCCATGGTTACTTCAAAGGTAAACATAATTAATTCACATTTTACTATATTTAAAAATTATGTTTTGCCAAGCCAGACATAATAATGGATAATCAGCACAACTATACCATTCATTATTTTTTTCCCTGAACAGGGAGTTGCTACTCCCCTGCTTTTGTTTTTGTTTTTTGTTTTTGTTTTTGTTTTTTTGGCAATCCCATAATTATTCTTAGGGGCTTTGTTGATCATTGAATTATTTGGACTGGATTATCTGATCAGTCATCATGCCTGTATGCGTAATTGATTAAAATGCACATTGAGGATAAACCGAGACAGAAATGCCCTCTAGTTTTAGAAGAAATTATCCATAGTGCTTCTCTGCAGCCAAAGATTGTCTGTCTGTCTGTCTGAGATGGTGTTTTGGGAGGGATTCTGTGAACATGCTGGGTTTCAGCAGGGATAGTGTTTATCAATCATAGTTAAACATGTGGATAAGAACAGGTTTGCACTGAGTACCTGCACCCCCTAATGTCCATGTGAACAGCATCAATATCTATAGGTAGGCCTGCATGTGCAAAGACAACAGTGCAGAGAAGAACAGAAGTTCCTTCCTGCAAGGGGACCTTTGTGTATGCAGGCCTATCCCTATAAGCAGTTGCACTGAGTTTGGCACTGGGTGAGATGTGTGACATCAGATAGTGGGGCTACTCAGCATGACCATGGCAATTAAACGAATCCTGAACAGGGACTTCCATAACTCAGTGATTTGTAATTCCTGACACCATTGGAATCAGATGTTTTATATCCCTTGTGGAATATGTTTTACTTGTGTCTGCACGACAGACAAGTACAAATACTGATACTAAACTTAATAGCATTCTATAAATACATTTTCTCTATTGTGGATTTTATATTTTTTATGTTTTTCCTATAGATTCTTGCACTATGTCCTTAATGATTCTGAAATCTCATCTTTCCTGATAAAACATGTAATTAAGAATGTAGCAAGAAATAAGGTTGGACACCAGATAGCACTGAAATTTGTAACAGACAATTGGTCACATCTGTATAATAGGTATGAAAAGCAATACTTGCTTAATGTCACTTTAGTTTGCATGTGTTGTGCCAATGTGAAGAGAGGAGTAGGATCTACTTAGGAGTCTGTTTTCTTTCCTGTGATTCTTTGCTGATGTTCTGAAAAATAATAGAGGAGTGGGAAAAATCAGCCGATGGTGCAAAAGTATTCAGAGCATTCAGTCCACTTTCTCCTTTTGTCTCTTCTCCATGAGGCCTATCATCACTGTTCTTGAAGGATCCACCAACCCTCTAGGGCAGATTTTTGGAGGAAGCTAGAGCCTGTATGAAAGGAGGAAGTGCCTTCTCCCACCATTGTGTTCCCAGCGTTCCATAAGCAGAATTCTTATAGTATCTGTGGATGCAGCCCATTATCTAGAGTTAAAATAGACATGGAAATTGAGTATTAATATGACAAATGCCATTTGACAATAGTAACTATAGACGGATATATTCTAGATAGAATAGAAATAGATATGCATGCATATACCTTCATATACAGAGTACATAAAAAACTAGAGACAGAATAGTCAAAAAGCAAGCACAAGAATAATGAAAACAGAAAATGTAATAAAAATGTTAAAGCAGACTATTCATGCACTTGTCAAAGCTCACAGGTGGGCAGCCTGCAGGCTCCTCTGGCTTGTCTTTGTAAAGCCCACAGATCCATGGCGATCTGGAACCTTTCCCCCCTGCTGTCCAACTAAGTGGCCATCAGCAGAGTGGTGGATGAAGGGCCCCTTCTTTGGTACTGCTACTATGAGATATATATTACGGTGGAAAGGGAGCCTCAAACACATCCCAGAATTCCCAGTGCAGCTAGCTCTATTATTTCCCTGCTGCTGATATCTCTGGTGAATAAGCAGTCCTTTAATCACAACCTGAATGCAGCCAAGATTGCTGTTTCTCCGCTACTTAACAGAAACAGGAAAAGAGTTAACTCCATTGGGATTGTTCACAGGCTCAGTTTGGAGGGATGTTATCTTTCCCTTCAGCATTTCATTGCAGCCAAGATCACAATGTCCATGCATTTAGTTCAGGAGTCGGGGTGGGAGGTGACTCTGTTTGTTTCCTTTCTTGTGAACATTCATAAAGATTTCTGTTTCAGGAGTGAATTTAATGCATTACATGGTGTCATGTCGTCGGACATTACAAGCTCAGAAGTTCAAATGGTAGGTAGAATAATTAAACCATAAACTAACTAAATAATATAGAACAGTTGCCTGAAAGCAGTAAGAATTTGAGCCCTTATAAAATGTAATTATTGTTCAAATAAAAGTTATGTACAATGGGAAAAATACTGAAGTTGGACTTGTTCTGTAGTTAAATGGCTTAAAAATGACTTAGGCATCTCTGATGCATGTCAATACACAGTGGAATCTGGACAACTAGGCAACAAGCAGCGCATGCCAAATACAGAGCACATTCTTCCCCAGGCAGGCCTGTGAATCATTCCAAAGTACAACAGTTTTATACTGGACCAAAATACTAAAACAGAGTTGAGGACCCTCCTGAATGTGTGGACTGTGGTGTAAGAGACTGAAGACAGAAACACCTCCTCCTAGTAGAAACACTGCTGCCGTAAGGTTCTTCCATCCCAATATACTCTCTATGGCGAGTTCATCCCATTGCTGGTTTCCCCAAGGGCAAGACTCTTGTGAATTCCTTTAATCTGTTCCTGTGCCATCCCACATGTTTTCTATCTAGAAAGAGCTAAGAGATAAAGGGTTGGACATGACCAAGATGTGTGCAGGGTGTTAATTATCATATTAGTGAAAATGCACGGCTTTGAATAACATGGCAGACTAACTGTATTTATTCATTATTTTAGTTACAGGTTTTTCTTAATAATACACTTGAACCAGAAAAAAGTATTATGGCTACTAAGATGATGCTGTCAGATAAAAATGAAACAGAAGAACGCAAACAATCATTAACTAACATGATCAAGTGGCTAAAGAAAAATATGGATTGCTGATACTTAAGAACTGTTCCATACGTCCCTCCTTTTTTATTTTTTGGTAGTGGGTTGGTGACACTCAAGGATTTCATGTGATTCTCAGCCTAATCTCAAGCACTGTGTGTGTACAGACAACGTAGACCACTGGCAGGAGTGATCTGTTTCTTTCCAGGCGTGCCTCTGAGGGGGAATGAAGAGGGAGAGGAAGAATTGGGGGAGATGGAAGAAAGAGAATGGTTTTGGTTCTGCCCATCGCAGTAGCTTACCCACAACTGGATGCTACCTTCTTCAGAAAAACGGTTGCCTTCCCCTGTTATATATTAATAGCAAACTCATTTTCTCATTGTGGAGCCTTAGGTAGCCAAAATGGGAATCATCCATGTCCAAGAGAGAGAGATTAACTTTCCAGAGAAAGTAAGGCGGACACTGATTGCTTTAGCTTGTTATCCACTATAACAAGTTAAAGCAACTTTGCAATTCTGTATTTAAAATGGCTTGTTTTACCTAGTTTCCTCTGGGGAGTTACGTGTGTGCTGTTGAAAGGTGATCTAGGATCTTCACCAGAGCATTAGACTATATTGAACATACATTGAAATGTATTACTGAATGTTATTGCATGCCTAATGCTGAATTCTCATATTGTTAAATGAGATGTGGGTGGAAATTCATATGAAACCACTCTCTCCCTTTTCCAGATTACATATAACCATTTTTCCTTTCTTGAGTTTGCAACATGTTAATTTTGATTGAAATTGTGAGTTCATAAAAGTATACAAATTTTTTTAAATAAGAAGATATAAAATTTAAAATGCCTATGATACTAATTCTCTGTGTGCTGTTTCTCTGTCATGGTGTTGTACCTTTTTACTAAATACGTTTATGCAACCCTTTTGTTGAACATTATGAATTTAGGTTAGCCTATAGAGTAGCTGTGCTTCAAAGAAATTTTTTTTTTTTTACAAATGTATATCCTGACTACATTTCACATGAGTACAGCATAAGCTCATTGGTAGTGCCAGTTCTGAAGAGAACTTTCCTTTTCTGCATTTGTGCTCCCACTGAAATCACCAAAGGAAAGGTTTGTAAATTTCAGATATTTAACAGCTTTTGTGCACCCCCACACCCCATACTGGTTCCATTTTGGATGTTACCGTAGAAGTGCAAAATGTGGAAATGTAAAAATAATTGGTGCATGCAAAGGCCTCAGAACACAGAAAGACACTAATGTATTGCAGAATGTCTTGGAAGCTGGGATTTTGGGATTTTGTTCGTAATTCTATTCTACTGCATGACTATGTTTTGTGAAAAAGGGAGCAGCATTTCTGTTTGCAGGTTTCTAGACTATTATGTTACTTTACTATCAATTGAATTTGTGCTGCAGGAAACTCCAACAGAATTCAGGTTGCTTACTGGAATAAAGTTATCCAATTACATACTTTCTTTTTCATGGTCTCTGTGCATCACACATCCAGGCTTTGCACCTATGCACAGCTTGTTGTCTGGAAGCTTCTACAGCTAAGTGTTTGATTGGGTGGAGCACCTCCTGTTCTTGTTCCAGGATAATGTGGGGAGAGGCTGCCACCCATCCCTTCAGTTCCTTTTCAACCATCACCATGTCTAGATTGGGAAGCGCTTCTCTCCTTCACTTAAGTACCTAGTGCCCTTTCTTTCTTTTCTTTCTAAAACCTTCTCCTTTACAATTCTCTCCCTCCTTTGTGAACCCATTTCCACTCTTTGTCTTAAAAAAGAATTTTCAAGCATATAATTTTCCTACCCACTTTTCTATCCTCTACTCCTCACATCCTTTTCCTGAGTTGCCTGTGCCTTTGTTTCTTTTCCCCCTTTCCCACCTATCATAATGGTGTCCCCAGTGGCTTTTCAGAGTTGTGCCAGCTGCAGTAGCAGGCTTCTTCCTTCCAGTGACCATTCCCTCTGCCTCATTTGCCTGGGCGAGGGACATGTTGTGGACCATACTGCCAGGCCTTCACAAAGCACACCTGAAGAAACTGGGCTGAACACCTGGAGACTGAGCTTTGGCAAAAGGAGCTTCAGGCTGCTGACTCCTCCAAGTGCCAGAAACATGACTGCTCCTCCATCTCGGTGGCAAGAGAACCCCCAACCAACCCAGGGCCATTTTCCTGGTGACTGCATGGCCAAGAAGGCCACCAAACATGCTAAAAAATGGCTGCCACCACCAAAGAAAAGGCACCCGAGAGCCCCCACTGACCTGCAATGCCAAGGATCCAATCAACGTTGCTTTCTGACTGATCGCTCTTCCCAGCACTGACAGGAGACCTGGTTTATACGTCAGAGGGAGTTCAGAGGCAGTCCCATTAAGTCTCCAGCCCGTCCACTGTCACAGACATCAATGTCAGGGCTGACTCTGCTGCCCCTAGAGACCGGCTTGGTGTCAAGGTGATCTATTCTCCACCAAGGACGACACCACTGCTGTCAGAGAGCTGCTCAACACCAAGGTGATTCATTGCAGCCTCATTGCATCTGGAGCAAGCCGAAATGAACAAAACTGCTCATTTCTGGAGTGGAGCAGTTTAGCAGAGCACCCTCTTCCAATGAGTGAATTTATATTTGGGTTAGTGTGGGCTTCCTCTGAGAAGCATTAAATTTCTATGGTGCAAGCAGTGGATCCAATTTGCACAAATGGAATTAGTGTGACCCGCTGATTAGTGGAATCTTCAGGGCACAGGAGAATCAAAGGGGCGTACGCACTCCTTTTGATCTACCCTATGTGGCTCATTTATTTTATACCACCTTTCTACCAAATAATGGCACTCAGGATGACTAATCAATATTGGATTTGGCCTGAAGGGTTTCATTTGGCCTTTCAGCCTCTTAGAGAAAGCTGGATTCAGGCTAACGCTTTAATTCCATTTAAATTAATGGTACATGTTGGTCATGAGTGATGCAAGTCCCATAGATAGCCATAGCTCACTTGTGTTTGTCTGGTACATTTTCATAGGCATACCTTGCATTCAGGGAGGACTGGATTGTTCAAAAGCATTAGTGGCTGCACTTGGTTTTAGCATCCTTATTTAAGAGTTTACCACCCAGTATAAATATGAAAAAAAAGTTTGAGATGGCTAGTACAAGCTGAACACAAAGTCATCCCAAGAAACATTGTGATGTAAGTTTTCTCTTGGAATGTCATAACACTCTTAAACAGTCGGCACAGAGGCTTATATTCTACTAATCTCTACCCCTTAGTAGCATCAAAGGTGCATGCTGTGATTATTTGCCAGAAGCCTGCTTTTGTAAAATTATATTAAAATTTCTTAACTTCTTTCCATAACTGATGCATTCTTCACTCCATATGTACAAAAATTTAAGTAAAGAGTATTTGGTTTGCACAAGTACAGTTATAACACTGAGATGTACTCTTGAAAAAGGGATTCTAAAAAATTGTCAGCATGCAATGATGATGGTATTTTGCTTTAAATTGTTTCTTGATTACCAAACCATGCACAATTTTGTTAAGAATCTCACCACATTTTTGGTGATTGAGAGTGCAGCTACATGGACATTTAAGAATTGTCATTCTAGCTCAGATGAAACAGTTAACCAAACCAGCACTTCGTTTCCAAGAGTGAAGAGCCAGATGTTTCTCCGGAAGATGACAAAAATATTCTCTTGCTGTTTCCTTCCAGTATGTGAAAGCAGAGGTACATTTGTTTACCAGAAAGCTTTTTCCTGCTACAATAGACGTGGAGGCACAAGAAACTGTATAGTAAACAATGTAAAATGTAGATCCCTGCATTGCCTTTGTTCCTGCCTACACAGGGATGGCCCTGTAATTCCCCTACCAATAGTGCTGGAAGGCACAGTTGCTGAAGTGACTCAACTTAGATTGCTGCTGAGTTGGTTGATGTATGAAGTTTGGTACACATTCAAGCCTCAAATGACCAGGCCACAGAGCCATAGGACAGGCTGGAGTCTCTTATGGGATAATAGTATAAAGCATGCAAAAGAGCACTAATACTGTTCTCATAATGGCAGCAAACATTAAACCAAAGAAGTAAACAACTCCCTCAAAATGATTGAGTAACATTCAGTCTGCAATCCATATCAAGATGACTAAGGCTGGATGTTCTGCCAGGAAGGGGCCCTGAAATATGGACTATGCATTTTGGGCCAGTTTTGATCACAGTTGGCATGCTGACATATTTTGCTGTGGGTTGCAAACACTTTGCTTGGATGATTAAGCCTGTTGCCTCCAAGAAGGTTTCCTTGCAAAATTTAGTAACAAACATTGGGGAATGTGGCCTGCCAGCAAATACTGTTGAAATCCTACTTTAAGTGTTTACTTGAGAGAGGGAGGGAGGGGAAGTCGAGACAAAAACTTCTCATTCGCATGATCTGGAACTTGGCTAAATTTGTCCACTTCCCTGAGCCTGCCCTCCTAAGCTTTGTCCTCTGCACAATTGTTGAGCCTTTGCATGTAAAGTCTTGACAACATCCCTATTCAAGTGTAGTTTATAGTATTATGAGATTCTTCTTAAGTGTTGGCTTTTGGAAACAATTTCCTGTTAATACCCTCTGAAAAGCCATTTGATTTTTAAATAGAGTAGAAATATATTAGAACCAGAAGATTCAGGTTTATATGCCAGTTTGGAAAATTTGGAAGCTGCTCCATTCAAATCGGCATGTTGATCTAGAAATCCAAACTGTTTTGCCTCTTTGGGAATTGCCAAGAGCAGGTCTCTTGCCCTTGAAGAACCTGAGATAAGTTTTCAGGCACAATTCTATCTGGGAGAAATGAGCCTAATACCACTTTCAATGTTCAAGCTAGAGGAGTGCAACCTTCAGCCTTATCTGGCACACATGGTGGTCCAATCCAGCTTATGGAGGATTGAGCACTCTCTGCAGGTCCCATCTTCTGTCCTCCACAAGCTCTTCTCTCTGGGGAAAAGGAGTCCCCCTGCTGTCTCTGACCATAGGGGATCCCACTGCATCATGCAGAAGAAATTCATCATGATAAGAAACAACATTGGCTGGGTTCACACATCACAACCAGCAGCCCTGTGTGGTTCTCATGGTGCACAATTTTCTGCCTGGGTGTGCCTGACAGATGATTAAGTGGTTTCATAGAGTGGTTTCATAGAGTCATAGAATAATAGAGTTGGAAGGGGTCAAGTTCTTTCAATCTCTCCTCATAGGGTTTTGCTTCCAGTCCCTGGATCATCCTTGATGCTCTCTTCTGTACCCTTTATAGCTTGTCTGCATCTATCTTAAACCATGGTGCCCTGAACCGGACACAGTACTCCAGGTGACATCTGACTAGTGCTGAGTAAAGAGGAACTAGTACATCACATGATTTGGAAGTGATACTAACATTAATGCAGCCCAAAATAGCCTTTGTCCTTTTTACAGACACATGACATTGTTGACCCATATTCATTTTGTAATATACAACAATTCCAGGATCCTTCTCACTTGCACTATTGTTAAGCCAAGTATTCCCCAACTTGTAGTGATGCATTTGGTTTCTTTTAACTTTTCCTAGGTGTAGAACTTGCTATTTGTCCCTGCTGAAGTTCCTTTTGTTGTTTTCAGTCCAGTGCTCCAAGGTATCAAGATCACCTTGAATCTTCTTTCTGTCTTCCAGGGTATTAGCTATCCCACCCGGTTTTATGTCACCTGCAAATCTGATAAGAGTTCCCTGCACTTTCTCCTCCAAATCATTAATACAAATGTAGAAGAGCCTTGGGTCAGGACTGAACCCTCCCCAGTTTGAGAAGGTACCATTGATGAGAACTCTTTGAATCTGGTTCTGTAGCCAACTGTGAATGCTACTGATAAGTTGTTCTAACTATGCCACCAGAATGCTAATCAGGATATCATGGGGCACTTTGTCAAAAGTGATAGATTATGTCCACAGCCTTTCCACAGTCCATCAGGCAGGTTACCCTAATCAAAAAAATGAGATCAGATTAGTCTGGCAGGATTTGTTCTTGAGAAATCCGTGTTGGCTTCTAGTAATTACTGCATTGCTTTCAAGATGCTTGAAGACTGACTGCTTTATAATCTGCTGCAGAATTTTCCCAGGGATTCATGTCAGGCTGGCTGGTCTGTAGTTCCCAGGTTCTTTTCCTTTCATGAAGATAGGGACAACATTAGCACTTCTCCAGTCTTCTAGCACTTCCCCTCCCACCCATGATTTCTCCAAGGTAATAGACAGTGGTTCTGAGAGTTCTTCTGCCAGCTCCTTTATGAGTGTAGGATGGAGTTCATTGGGTCCTGGAGATTTGGACTCATTCAACCCAAGCAGGTGATCCTTGATCTTTTGCCTATCAATCTTGAGCTGCCATCCTGCTCCTTCAGCTTGTACTTCCCCTACAGCAGGAAGGTCAGAGATCTTTTGGGAGAAGACTGAGCCAAAGTAGGAATTGAACACTTCTGCCTTTTCTTTGTCGTCCATTATAATTTTGCCATCAACTTGGAGTAGCTGAAATCCCATTTCTTTCCTCTATGTTTTACTTTGCACATACTGTATATGAAGAAGCTTTTTTTTGTTACTTTTAGCATCACTTGCTAGGCTTAATTTATTTCTAGCTTTAGCCTAGAATCCTAATGGCATAATCCTAATGCCATTCGTGCAATTCTGTGCTACCTGCCTACATTCTTCCTCTGTAGTCAGGTCTTCTTCCTCTTCTTATGCAGGTCCCCCCCCCCGCCACCCCCATCATCTCTAAGCTTTTTGTGAAGCCACATGGGCTCCCTCTCCTTGTTGGAATTGTTTGTAATTGTGCCTTTAGGACTTCCTTTTTTATAAATTCCCGCCTATCTCGGACTCCTTTTCTCATTAGAATCACTTGCCATTGGACTTTACTTATCATTGTTCTGAATGTACTAAAATTGGCTTTCTTGAAATGCAGGATACGTGTTTGGCTATGGTTGGCTTTTGCTTCCTTTGGGATCAAGAAATCAAGTATGGCACAGTCACTTTCTCCCAGAGTTCCTGTAGCTGCCACTTTGTCCACTAAGTCTTCCCTAGTGGATAGTATCTACGCAAGGATAGCTGTTCCTTTAGTTACTCCTTCCACTTTCCGTTGGAAGAAGCTGTTGGCAACACGTTAGGTACCTCTTGGAGGAGCCATGTTTGGCAGAATTTGTCTCTCAAAAGACATCTGAGAAATTGAAGTTCCCTATAAGGATGACATCATGCCTCCTTGAAACACTGGCAATTTACTTTTCACCCTCATATTCTTCTTGACTGGGTGGTGAGTAAAAGACTCCAATTACTGTGTTTCTTTTATTCTTTGCTCCATTTATATTGATCCAGGTGCTCTTGATGGGGCTACTAAGCTCATCCTCCTGTATTTCTGTGCAGAGATATGTATCCTTAATATATAGTGCGACTCTATCACCCTTTCTATTCCTTCTGTTCTTCTTGAACAGGTTATATCCTTCAGTTGTTCGATTCCAGTCATGGGAGTCATCCCAAGTTTCAGCTATACCTGTCGGGTCATATTCACCCTCCTGTATTAAGAGTTCATGTTCAGGCTGCTTGTTTACCATTCTCCAGGCATTAGTATAGAGACACTGAAGATTCCGTGCTTTATACTCTAGCTTTCTTCCTACATTTTTTGGAAGTCTATTATTGGGATGGTCTCTCTGTCTGCTGTTAGGCTCAGTTGTACTTCTCCCTCCCCTGTAGGATTCCGTTTAATCCCCACCCCCCATACACTTGTTCATGCTGTGGCCAAACACATTCTTTTCAGTTCTTGCAGGTGCCACCTGTCTCTTTGTAAGGATCTGAAGCAGCTTTAGGGTTCCATCTACTGGCTGAGCTCTGAAATAACAGCTCTGGTAGTTGCAGGATTACTCCCTCAAGCTATTGCAGCTATCAGGGCCTTCATGAGCACCACCTGGGAGCCCTGTGGGGAAGAGCTACATAAGAACTGGCTCTTCCCTCTGGAAGTAGCCTCAGTAATAAAGGTTTCTTGACTTGCTGTGGTGGATCCAACTTCTATTCTAAGAAAAATTGCTACTGCACAAAGAATAAAGTTACCTTAAATTATTAAGCAGTATTACTATTACCATTGATAGTAATGACACCCTTAGAGCCACAACCCAGAAAAGCAAGCTCTGAAATCCAGCAGCAACCTGTTATCCAAAGGGACACATAAGCATGATTGACAATGACTGTCTGGAATGCAAGTCAGGAATTTCCCAGCCCCATCTGGAGGTTCCAGGATTTGTACTCGTTGGAGTACTTTCCAGAGGCCTGAAGAAGGATATGCTAGAGAAGTCCTCCTCAACCTTGTGCCTTCTGGACATGTTTGGACTGCAACACCCAGAATTCCCAGTCAATGGTCTACATGGATGGGAATTCTGGGAGTTGCAGTCCAAATGACTCTGAAGGCCACCAGGTTGGGGAAGGCTGTTAGACTCAGTGTTTTCCTGAAGACCTGTTGTTTATTTATCTGGGCACCACATTGCACACATTTTTATGTATGTTTATTTCATCCTGACATTCCCCATGTGGTGCTCATGGGCAATATTACACCTAGAAAGGTACCCCCAGTCTTATCATTCCTTTCCATATTTGATGCTAAGTATACACTTGGGAAAACAACCTCTATCCTCTTTGCTAGTTGCCTACATTATTTGCTCAGACCCCCACTATTCTAATTGCAGGAGAGACTCCAGCCACATTCTATTGGATGCCCGGGGACAGAACAGACAAAGTGAGAGATGGCTATGGCTGTGTGGAAGAATGTAAGGCAGCTAAGGAGGACTGAGGAACACTGTAGCCTTGAGGAATACTAAAAGTTTCATGACTGTCATTTTGTGGCAGTGCTAGATATGCCTACAGACTCAGAAAGGACAAAAGCTTCTGGCCTTTCAGCCATCTGACTCTTCATTTACTGTGCATCTAAGAAAATATGACACAAACTTGTCTCTTCATTTTAAAAGGAAAAACAGTTTACAAAACTGTAAGCAAACCTTGCATTTGCAGCATAAGCGAAGATTTATTATCCTTTCTGACTAAACTCCTACCATACCCCATTCAGTATTCCTGGATGTTAGCCCTTCCTTCTGAACTAATTCAAAGCAGAAAGCAACTCATTTCACAAAAATGTGGTATGAAAAACAGTTAAAGTGTGCATGACCAAATAATGTTTTGCATTATACATGTGACACAAGTGTACATGCCACAGAGTTGGGAGCTGCCACAGCTCTTTCCTTCCCACACATGTGTTTGTTGAAGCAGTGTAAGAGGTGGCCCTGTGCACTGAATAGGTAGACCACCTGCCTTCAAGATTGCACCCAACAAGCAGCAATGGATCTCTGATACATGTTTAGAAAAACAGAGAAACAGGTCTTCCTGTCCTGTGAAGACTTGAGAGGTAAAATTAAGGGTGTTTCCTTCGTCCTCTTCTCCTCCACCAGTCTCTGGAATTTCTGCTTCTAGTGCCTTCCCGTTCAGATAAAGGATCCTGTGAACAACAGAAGGGGACCCTTTTCCTAGAGAAGGATAGCGAAGTAATGCAAATTTCCGTCAATGCTCCCCGCCTTCGGCTTCTGGTACTGGGTCCACTGCCCGGTTACAACAGCCAGAACAAGCTAGCCTTAAGTACTCCTCACGGTCGCAGCGAAATAGAAGGGCTAAGAAGAAACAGAGATGGGGTTTTGGACCGTGCACTGGGCAGGCGCAGCGCTCCACTGAAACTTCAGCCAAGTATTAGCTTGGCTTCACTGGGGCTCCGATTTGGAGTAGTACTTTTGCTTGACATCATTGTGAGTTTTTGCCATAGTCAGCCGCTCCCACTTCCATCTAGCCTGAGGCAGTGAGGAAAACCCCTGCTGTCCTCTTGCGCGGAAGGCGAACTCCATCTCCGCTCTCGGGCTCTTATTCTGCGCCCTGCTGTCTTCCGCCCAAGCCACTCAGTCTCTAACCTCCCCGTCCACGCCAGCGCTTCGCGGGCTTGGGCGGGAAGGAACCAAAAATGGGCGCTAAGGTGCGCTCGAGTTTCTCGCTCCTGGCGCTCCTCGTGCTGGGGATCCTCTACGGCCGCTGCGCGCAGGAGCTGCAGGACGTCCGGCTGCGGCAGGGAACCGAAGCGCGCCCTCCGCCGCCCTGCGCTAGCGGCAGCCCTAATGCCAGCGCCGCGCCGCCCGCGCGGCCGCCGGGGCCATGGGACGAGTGGCGCCTGCCCGCGCACCTGGCGCCCGCGCACTACTCGCTGCTGCTGTGGCCCCACCTGGCGCCCGGCCTGCCCGAGCCGCGCACGCACTCGGGCCGCGTGAACATCAAGGTGCGCTGCCGCCAGGCCACGGCCACGGTGCTGCTGCACAGCGCCGGCCTCACCTACCGGAGCGCCGCCGTCTGGGGCCCGGGCGCCCACGGCAGCCGCCGCAGCGTCCCCGTGGCCGAGCTGTGGCCAGCGCCCCAGAACGAGTACGTGGTGCTGGAGCTGCGCGAGAACCTGAGCGCGGGCGCCCTCTACGAGGTGCAGCTCGCCTTCCAGGGCACGATCCACAGCTTGTGGGATCCCCACGGGCTCTTCCTCAACACGTACGAGGACGAAGGAGAGAGCAGGTAGGAGGCTGCTCGTGGCTCTGGGGTCACAGATCAGGGCCTCCAACAGAGGCAGTATCGGGGCGGCCCGCTGGAGCTGGAGCTGGAGCCCCTTAAACGTCTGCCCTACCCTCCCTCTTGTCATGAGTACTTGCTGAAACAAAGGTACCCTTTGAGCTCTGGTGCATCTGATTTCCCCATGACTGGCTGAGTTTTTGCCCACAGGTGCTTCATTTCCTGCTGCCCCCACCTTCGAATTTTCTGGCTGAAGTTTTTGAATGAAATCAACAGTCCTCCTTTCTCCTATCCATGCAAGCCTTGTATTAGTGGGGTAACCTTAGGGGAGAGGTTTTGTCTCCCCTGTAGGAGTACTGCTTTTAGATTATCTGTATATTAACATATGGAAATTTGTGGGGGATTATTATTATTATTTGGCCCTGAGGCATTGATCATTGCCATTAGCCACTGAGCCATTTCCTTACCCAGCACCAGCCCTGGTTCCCACAGTCTAAGGGGCCTCAGAGAACAGTGGCATCAGCCCCTGACCAGCCTTTGCCAAGATCTGCAAGGGCTGGTTACCTCATTCTTTTTTCCTTACTTTTAGAAGGAGGTGGACAAGCAGGCAGGGACATAACTACAGATGCTCATCTAAACTTCATTCTTCTTGTTATGTTACACTTATATCCTGCCTTTTTTCCCTACAAGGAACCCAAAGCAGCTTTCCAGGTTCTCCTTTTCCATTTTACCCTACTAACAACAGGTAGGCTAGGTTGAAGTCACCCATTGAGCTTTATGGGGTACTAGTGCCTGAATCTCCTGTATCCCAGTCCAACACTCTAACCACTATGCTACACTTCAACTTATATGGAATCATACAGTTGGAAGGGACCCAGCAGGCCATCATGTCCAACTGTCTGCTCAAGGTTGGACTTAAGTCACCCATCCAGATTTCTTTCCCATATGTTCTTTGCTTTTTTTTTTAAATAAGGTTTGCAATACAGGATGCTGTGCTGTTTATTGTGGGGAGGATGCCCAGCAAAGGATTGTAGAAGCAGTTGCAATGTATGATGAATATGGGGTGCTGGAGGGAGAGAACAGAAAATTTAAAAGGTCAGCTGTTTTCTTCACAACTGAAGTAATACACATAATGGCCTTTCTGTGAGGCCATTTTGTCCAGGCCTAAAATTACTGAGCTGGACTTCTGCTTTCCGCTTCCATTGACAAGCATGGGATAGGGGTAATTTTAGAGCTTGGGTTTAAGGATTGTATGGAAGTAAACTTTAGAACAGGGGTCGGCAACCTTTAACACTCGAAGAGCCATTTGGACCCATTTCCCACACAAAAGAAAACACTGGGAGCCACAAAACCCTTTTGACATCTAAAATGAAGATAACACTGCATATATCGTTTTTTTACCTTAATACTATGTATATCTTCATTATGATTTAGCTGTAGCTCTTGTTCAGTCACTAAAAACTGTTATTTTTAATCTTACATTATAAACTAGTAGGACTCCTTTCATATATTTTGAACAGGAGAGCAGTTTCCTGAAGAGTCAAAGTCAGTGCTAAAGGGCTGCATGCATTAAACAGCAAACCCCATAAGTTTGTCAGCAGTAAAAGCAAATGAATCTACCCACGTACCATTAAGCGTTTGGTTTTCTTCAGGAACTTTTCTTCGATTTATCCAAGTGCTGTGCTGACACGGGCCGCGGATCAGCAGCGGCTGTGATGTGAGCGATGGAGCCGCAGCAGAGGCATTCAAGAGCCACATGTGGCTCTGGAGCTGTGGGTTGCCGACCCCTGCTTTAGACAGTCATGTTGTGTTACTTCAGCTGCGAAGCACAGAGCTATTTCTCTTCTCTGCCACCACCACCCCTTTTAAATCTATTTTCAAAAGAATTTGTGATGAACACATACTACACATGTTCCATTTAAAAGTTTGCTGAACAATCTGTCATCTGTTTAGGATGCCCTTATCAACATGTGATACTTGGTTCCTTTGGAATGATAGGACAAAGTCCGAGAACCCAATTCACATCTAAGCTTAGCCTTGAAGGATTTGTATTTAGAATTTTAGTGCTGTGCTGTAGTTATTGTATATTGTCATGTTTTGCACTGCTTATTTGTTAAAATGTGCATTGTTCAGAACATAATTATGGGGTGATTCAGAAATACAAACAAATATAAAATATAATTAGTGTTTCTACTTCTAATGAGCAGAGAAATTTAAAGCACTCCTAAATATCCACCACATCCTTGACACAGGAGATATAGTGAACAATATAGAGCTATACTGTTAGAAATACTGTATATCGTTATTGAAAAACTGAGGCATGACTGCCTTTCATGTGCATAGTTTAAATTTTGTGTTCTTGTTAGCATCTTGTCTGATTTCTTTAGTGTTCTGCACTTCTTTACCACAAATATTTATTAGTTTGCTGAAGTTTATTTTTTCCAAGGTTATGTGTATGTATCTTCAGCTAACTATGTATACAGCATCACCTTGGAGGTTTGCATGTTCGAGGCTGTTACCACAGCATACTGGGTCAGAATGACTGAATTTAACCCTGTTCATATCCTCAACTTAGGCAGCTGATTGCATCACAGCTAGCACCAACAGGTGCGAGGCGTGTCTATCCATGCTTTGATGAGCCTGCACTGAAAGCGACCTTTAGCATCAGTATTGTACACCATCCGAGCTACGTAGCTCTTTCCAACATGCCAGCAATAGGTAAGTAAGGCAATGGTGCCCACAATAATGCTAGGGCTGACCTGCTGTTAGAAAAAATGGTATTAAATATGCTATTATAGTATCTATAACCAGGCTTGCAAAAATCCCAGGCACCTAAAAATGTGACACTGGCACCCAAAATACTGACAGATTGGTTCATCCCTGATTCGTTTCTGTTCTGGCTTAGTCAATATTCTGTGTTTGGCTTCCAATTGTTTTGCATTCTTTTTTTCCCAAAGTGGCTAGGAGAAAAGTCGTCATATATGGGATAGATTTTTTAAAAATTTTTGGTGAATGACACCGGCAAAACTCTGCTACTGTCAAGCCAAGCAGGACCACTCTGGGAAGCTGGATAGCCCTTTCCTTTGTGTACTGTGAATGTGACCTGCCTGTGGAAGCAGTCCGAATGATTTCCATCAACCGAGCTCCCGAATGTCGCTTTCCTCAAAAACAACATCCTTTGCAGTTCCATTTCCTATCAGGATTCTGAGCATCTCTTGGAACTTTTGGAGCTGCTTCTGCCATCCAGAAACTCCAAAACATCTTCTTCCTTGAATGGCTTGTTGAAGAGGTGGAGACCACATGTGATTCTGGAGGTCTCTGTGGCTGATAATTCTGTTGTCATAATAACATATGCCTGTGGAGAAGGGGAGGAGTTACAGGGTTTGTGTATCTGCTGGGTTTAAATGTTCCCTGTTGTTCACCCAAGGAACACTGAAATATTATTGTCAGGAGCAAAATAGCACTTCTGATAACCTTGCAAGCATGCAAGTACAGGCATGTTTGTATATGTGTGACAGGAGAATACTTGCAGGGTTTAATATTGGTAATACATGCATTAAATGCATTTAACTCATTCTCTCATGTACATAATAGAGTAACTTTAATAATATCTGATGATTAACTAATTATTAATATATTTGTAGATGTATCTGAGTATCAGGATGTGAACGAGAGCACAGCGAGTGGATGGATAAACGAGACTGCAGACATAAACCTGACCACAGGCATAAACTGGACTGTCACAACATATGAAACAAGTCCAAAAATGTCCACTTATATAACTGCTTTTGTGGTCTGCAACTTTGATCATGTCACCAGAACAGAGAGGGGCAAAAAGGTGATTACATTCATTGCTTTTATTATAGACTTTAGGAGTATACACTTGCATGTACGACTGAGTTTTATGTTCTGCAGTATTTCCCTAAGTTTAGTGTACACAATCCAGAGGACTCTACAAACTGCAGGAAATATAAAATTGGTAAACAAATAAGTTATAATGTTTAATTATATAATAGCATATGTCCTGAAAATGGGGGTTGGAGCCAGAATCTGAAGGTAGGAGGAAGGTCACTCCAAAATTCAAGCGCTGACCTTAGGGGGCTTTCCAGAGGTTGGAGCTGAGCCTGTGGCTTCTCCTGTGGCCTTCTAGACAGTGTCTTGCCACAATAGGATTTCATCTGAAATAAATATAGTAATGCTCCTCTTGGCAATTAATGTGCAAACATCCCTTCTCACTGCTTCAGGAATAGTCAGAAATGGCCTTTGCCATATCAGGATTTGTCCAAGCTCTGAGCCCGCTGCCAGTCTGTGGCAAAGAACCATGAGTGAGTTTGTTAGGAGATTACTTTCCATACCGGAGGAGCTCTCTGGATCTATACTCTTACCCATAATGTACCTTGCATGCTGCAGCAGTGCTGGTTAACAAAGTTAAAAAGAAAGGGGAAGAGCCTTTTTCTTCTTTCCACCCTTGTTGCTGAAATAGTGTTGTTTCCTGCCATCAAACCATCTCTGACTTAGGGTGTCCCCTTGAATGAAAGTTCTCCAAAATGTTCTGTCCTTGACAGACTTGCTCAGCCCTTGTAAACTGAAGGCTGTGGGTGCCTTAATGGAATTGAGCCATCTCATACAGGGATACCTTGCAGATCATGAGGGTTTGATTCCAGAGCACCACAAAAAGTAGAATATAGCAATAACTCAGGTCTCATATAGTTATACCGCTGGCTGACTGGCACAAGAAGCCTAGCTTTCAGCCTATCTCGGTAGTCTGCATACATTGTTCACTATGCTTAATCATTTCTAGCTTCCTCTCACTTGGACACTTAGGGGCTATTGTAGGACTATTACAGAAATTGGCCTAATTGGCATATATATATATTCTTGTGTCCCAGGGCATGGGGAGGGGGAGACATGGAGGAACAGCTGGTTGGTGGAGCAGTCAAAACACCCCAGAACAATTACAAAGATCACAGTAACATCAGAGATCACAGATAATCACAACAAATATGCATTAGAATAATGACAATTTTGAATTATAGTGCAGAATTGTGAGAATTAACATATCGGCATAACTTCTTTTGATGTATTGTCAATGTCTTGGATGTTTACATAAAAGTCCTTGATTGCTTTTTCTTCAGCATCTATTGCTGGAACATGGACTTAAACAATGGCTATCTTGGTTAGGTCTTCTGAGAATTCTACATCTTGCCTCAGTATTAAAATCACCCCATTTCTTCTGAGTTTGATTTGTGTATTTAACATTTTGTTTAGGCTGTCTTAGATCAGGGGCATGCTTGGAGCTGTAGAACCCTTTTCTATCTAAACATGCAGATGACTGTGCCCGAAGAGTTAACTCCACACTGGGCATTGCATGCAATTCTCTGGCTAGTAGGTTGTTGGGGAAGTGGTGAGACATTGCTAGTATTTTTTGTAATATATGGGTATCTCATTCTTATTCAGCAAGGCAAGGGGCACATTGCTAGCATAATTTGCCTGAGCTGGATATTTCTTTTCTTCCAGGGTTACTGCATTTGTATGTATATTTTGACCTATATCCAGTTTTGAGTGAAGAGTTTAGTTATGCTCTTCATAGAAAATGGGTTCAGAGACATCAGGGATCCTGCTGAAATAACACATTCTTGCATTTATTCCAGGTCTCTGTGAGGATGAAGTTAGCCAAGAGGTTGGGCTTAGAGTTGAGCAATGGTGCTGTGATCAATGCCTCTGAAACTAATCAGTCATGGGAACTTTGGAATGCTATATTAGGTTAAGCTAATGAATTTACCTTGTGATATCTATTCATTATTTATACTAACATTTATTATTTATACTAAAGAGAGTTTGCAATTTTCATAAATAGGAACAGGTTACCTTTGTAAGTATGATCAAACAGAATGACTGTTGTAAGTATGATCTTTTCAGTAGGTGCCAAAACCCCAGCTGAGTGGCTTCTGCCTAAATGGTAGTGTTTGGGAGTGGGTGCTATAATATTAAAGTCCCTATTTTGAGCTATGATGGACCAGACCTCTGCAATTTTGGGTACCACCAGGAGGGTCTCTCCTGATGAGTATAGCAGCTTGAGCAAGGTGGTATGGGATTATGAAATCTCTTCTGGTATGCTAGTCCTGAGGTACTTGGAGCTTTGTAATCCTTAAACCTGGCCTGTCATCAGAGGGGCAACCAGTACTGTGTGGCAGTGAGTTGCACCTGATACCAACTTGACTGAGGCATACTGTACAGCTGCAGCTGCCAGTCCAGTCTTAATGGCAACCCCACATACAGCACATTGCAGAAATCCAGTTTTGAGATTACCAGTGTGTGGGCCCCAGTGCTCAAGCCATTTCAGTCCCTGAAGAGCTGGAAGAGCTGTTACTTTCTTACTTGCTGGAGCTGGTAAAGGACATGCCTGTGATTCAGTGACTAGACATTGACCACACCTGTGCTGGAACAGTGACAGCCTCCAGACTGCACACCTGCTCCTTCAGGTGGAATGTAGCCCCATCCTGAGCAGAACAGGCAGCTGTCCAGCTCTTGAAAAAGTCAGTGAAAGGTAGTGTTCTCAGCTAGTCTTAACATGTTCTATTTCCTCAAACACACACACTTGCACACAAACACACTAGCATCACCACCAGCAAAACACCAGTGATCTTTCAGATGCTGTCCTTCTGATACCCGCCAATATCCTCCAGCTCTTGCTGTTATCAGGCAAAATTGGGCCTTGTGTGTAGCTTCATATTTAAACTGTCCACAGTATATTTTTGCTTCTATTTGTAATCACTTTTTCTGTGCCTAGATACGTATTTGGGCTAGGAAGACTGCAGTTCAAAATGGATTGGTTGACTATGCTTTAAATATCAGTGGACCAGTATTTTCATTTATGGAAGACTTATTTGACATCAGCTACACTCTTGCAAAAACAGGTATGTTTGCTTGCCAGTGTAAAGATAGAGTGGTTAAGCATTTGTTACTGCTTCCAATTATGTAATATGATTAGCTGAGGACATGTAATGCTTTGCTCCTCTGACACGTCCCCAATAGGAGCCCTCAACTATGCCAGTCCTGGAGCTGGCATAATTGATTCACTCCCACTGAGCACAGCAGACAGTTTTCTCCAGAAATGTCTGGGTGGAGGCTGCCCTTATGCTTGTCCTCCTGAATGCCTCAGAATGATACCAAGTATGGAACACTGTGAAGGAAACAAAATGGGAGACCAGCATGCCAGCACAGTGACAGCACAAAAAACAAAAACTCTTAAGTAAAACATTATGAATCTGTGCTATGATCCCTGCTTATGGTGAACCTGTTTGTAGGAAACTGATTGGAGAATTTATTTTTCCATTGGAGGTATTCAATGAAATTGTCTCTGGTTGCAAATAGGGTAGACAATTTTGAAAGGCTGCTTGCGCACAGCACCTCTATTGTGTCAATGCAATAAATGGGTTCCCATGATACAACAACCAGTTGTGGGTTGTTACAGTGGGTTGTCATGAGAACCAAACTTGAACAAATTCTTGCAGCGTGCTTGGTTCAAGGGTAACAACCCATCCTGACAACCTAGAGTTTGTTCCACAATGGGATATCATGTCATCTGAACCTGGGCTAGTATTCCCAGGGAAGGAATGAGTGAGACACTTGGCAGAGTGGCAAAACCCCCTTGTGCCAGGTTTGCCCTGGCCATCACCAGTGACAGCTGCCCCCGACAAGTGGCCGAGCAGCCTGCCTGCCTGGTGGAGCTTTTCTTATCATCTGTCCCTTCGCCCCTCCTTCATTTTATTTTTATTTTATCACGCCTCTTTCCACCACACGTTTTTGCCTTTTGTTCTATACCCAGTTCTAAGTAACCAGCATTTGCCCTTTTGTCAGCAAAGAGTATAACAAAAGAAGGTACTTCTCCTGAGAACAGAATTGTTTTATGGAGTTTGTTGTCACAAGATGTATTAAAGGACAGATTGCTTTAAAAGGGTGTGAGGCACATTGATGGAGGATTGGTTAATCAGTGGCCCTTTGAGACCTCTATGGTACAGTCACTTTACAGCTGAATAACAAAAATTGGTGAACAGCAGCTGAATGATATTTCCCCTGGGAAGCCAAGAAACAGTGCTTGAAGCCTTGCAGCTGACAACAGGGAGAAATGGGATATTGTATTTAAGCCTCCCTTCACCTGGTGTCTTCCAGATGTTTTTGATCACAAATTCCATTTTCCCAGGTACTGTTGATTGGACCCAGCAAGTCACTTTTTCCGTCATGTATGACTATTGAAAAACCCAAGAAAATGCACAAAAGAGAGTTTATTTTTCAGTCTATGGTTGTCATTCACTGAAAATCTTGTGAGTTTATGGAATAAGCAGAGAAGTGCTCATGTAAACTTGTTAAATATGAAGTTCTTACAGCTGCCTCATTTTCCCCCTCTGCTTATGTAGATTTTATTGCACTACCTCACATGACAAGTAGTGCTATGGAAAACTGGGGACTAATCACTTTCCAGGAAGAAAACTTACTGTATCCCCTTCAAGATACCAGCAGAAAATGGAAAAAAATGATTCTTCATGCAATTTCCCACGAGATAGTACACCAGGCATGTAGTAAAATATTATATTCTTATATTTACCATTGAAATGCAGTTGATATTTTTCTAATAGCCACCATGCAATTGAATTACAATGCAAACGTTGCTTATGAGCACCACTGCATATATTAATACAGGAGTAGTGCGTCTTCAACAGTAGAAGAGACATGTAGTACATCACTGACTGTTGTAGCATTTTGTGTCTTTTAATTTTTAAATGTATTATTTGTGTTTATTGCTCAGCACATACTGAATTCTCTTGACAATATACCGTCAGAATCAAGTATAAGTCAAAGATGAGAATACGTACTATAAGAAAAGAAATGTTACCCTGAAATACAAAGCTACCATGTAAAGAGTGGGTTCACACAACTCAATAAGCTACCCTGCCACCAAGGCACCTGGCAGATGGTTGGGCATCATGGATAGCAGATCCTTTCCATTCCTTCCCCTGTGGCTCTCCAGTGACTACTGCAGGGGCCACTGTGGAAAGAATGAGATTCTCTTCTCTGTGACTCAAGCCCTTTTGGGCTCATGGTGAATTTTGTCTCATTAATTGATTTTTTTCTTAAGACCATAAAGCCAGCTGTCACAGCAGTTTTATGATCTCTCTTTGTCCAGTCCCAATGAAGTGCCTCAGCTGTACCTTGGACTCCAAGTATTTTTAAAAAATGTTTTAAGTTTAACAAGTAATTGAAAATGTTTATCTTTTAATTTTTCTTGCACAACTGTGGACGCCTCCAGATATATGGCAGCAACAAGGAACCTAGAGTGGATCGTGTGCAGGAGAGAGGTGTGCTGCCAAAAGCCAGCAATTGCCCACTCAATCTTGTGCAGATAAATAAATATCTCTTTGCAAGCAGAAGCCAACCTGTCAAACTCTTCCTAATCCGAGAGCGATCCTTGTTTGCAAAGGAGGGAGGAGGCTCATTCACCCCTTGTGCAGCAAGATCTTTGTGCATCTTTGCGAAAGGATCATTTGTCCAAGCTGTGCCCTCAGCTTTGCAAAACAAGCAGGAATTTCATGTACAGGGGCAATTCCTCAAAGACAGCCCCTCTCCCTTCTGCAGTATCCATTATCTGTTTGGGGAGTGTTGCTTCCCTACCATGCGCCTCATCTTATTTAGTCTCTCAGTCACATGCCCACCCTTGTTTTCCTTTAGTTTAAGGTGTGTCTGGAAAGTATTTGTAAATTTGAGGAACAATATACTTTCAAGCCTTACCCTGGCATTTCTTCATTGCATGATAAAATGTGCCTTTTCTAAATTAAATTTAGATGTGAGGAGGGCTGGGAAAGGAAGAGGTCAACTTTCTTTCCCTTTGCCACCATGTAGAAATCCGGTGTAGTGTGGTTGTTGGAGTGTTGTACTGGAGACCATAGGAGATCCATGTAGTCCCCATGCGACCATGGAGTTTCCAGAGTGACTAGGCCAGTCATTCGCTGTCAGCCTAACATACCTCACAGGGTTGTTGTTGTGAGGGTAAAATGGAGCTGTGTAAACTGCTTTAGGTTCCACACAAGAGGGCAAAAGGTGGAATATGAATGCGATGTAATAATAATATACAAAAATTATTTCTCCAAAACCTTTAATTGCATTTTAAGGGCACTTTCCATTGATGCTAATGGATAACTTACTAGAAATGCAAATAATAGTTTTAGGTTGCAGTCCTGTATACACTTACTTAATAGTGAGTCTCAGTAAATTCAGTAGGACTTCTGAGCAGGTTTGCGTGGATATGCATTATTGAAGAAGCAAACTTTGTTGAGCCATGGAAGAGTCTGAAAAAAGTCAAACTGCCTCCCCCAACCTACTTGTTCCAGAATCTGCCATGGCATAGTGCATAACAAAAATATGCATATTAATCGCTTTTGACATTTAGTATCATATCTCATTTGATGCTTGGAGAGAATTGTATCTTTTGCCATGTTAGAAAATTACATATTTGATTTTCTTTTAATTGTTTACTTGTACCTTCGTGGATTTTTTAATGCTTCCTCTTCCCACATTCCTAGCAGCTGCTATAATTGCAATACTCCTCTGTGACAGTAAAGGTACTGTGTAAAGGCATAAAGCACTCTTTTGCCATCTGATGGGAATAGCAGTTTTAAATAATGCATTTAAAGACTCTTTTCCCTTCTTTTTTAAAGTGGTTCGGAAACTTGGTTACCATGGCATGGTGGAATGAGTTATGGCTTAATGAGGGATTTGCAACTTATTTTGGATATCTAGGGGAACATTACATTGATTCCACAGAGCCCCTGGTAAGTGTGAACTAAGTATTTTTATACCTACTTTTTTTTCAAGAAACAGTAGCTTTGCTTTCAGTGCCTTGGCATGAGTGGAAGCTCTGCAGGGATGCCTCCAGCATGTAAAGTGTCCTCTGGCAAGATGCTCCCAGTGTGCCTTTGTCCTTGCAACATGACCAGACCCAGTTCTGCGTTCTCCATGCTGTCGTCAGTGTTGACTAGCCTGCACTCTTGCATAATGCTTGCTTTCTTCTGTTGCATAACGAACTCATAGCACCTCATCTTATTACCACATTTGCTTTCTGTGAGAACAGCATCTCACAAATATCTTTGTCAGAAACGTTTCCGTTCCACAGTTCAGCAGGTGTCTCCAAATCCAGCAGTTGATAATCATGGTGCCCTATGCCAACAATGTGCCTGATGCTTTTGGTGCTGTTACTGACCTGGTTCATGCTGACTGGCTATTTCACATGGTAACTAAAATCGGCATGTAGATGCTCTGGTCTTCTGAATTTTGCATATTGGCTTCCTGTGATAGATTTTCTTGGAAAAAAGAAAATCCATCCTGATATATTTTCAGGATACGTTTTTGTTCATTTAATCTGCTGTATGCATGTTGCCTTGGTACCCCAGGATGTCCAAGTAGTTTATATAAAACCACATATAATATAATACAGTACAGTACACAATGCAGTATAATAAAACAAGTACTTTAAAAGCATCATCATAATTTATTTCATTTCTATATCACCTCAAAGCTGAAGCTGTCTGTGGGTTTACAACAAAGTTATAAGTCAGAGAAAGCCTGGGTGATAGGTACATTTTCAAGATGGATTTGATGCCTGATGCACTTGCTGCCTTTCAATCCATACACACAGGAGGGTGTTTCAGAGGGTGGGTGCCAATGCTGAAAAGACCTACTTCCATTCTTTTACCTGACAGCACACTGTTTGTTGTGGACTCACCAATAAGGCCTCCTTGGAAGATCCTGGGCATTCACAATGGTGGAGGACAATCAGCCAGATATGTAGATTCCTTTGAATGGGCTATGGATACAATGTCCAAGTAAAGGTTTTTGAGAAGAAAGGAATGAAAACAAACATGGTTCATGAATTAATTGCATAAACACAGAGGTCACTTGAAGTGTTGTCAAATTTTAGTTAAATATTAGTATTTTGTGCTTATTTTCAGGACCAAGTCTTTAGCTATAAGATTGTATTAGCTGTGATGCCAAGCGATGCACACATGTATCAGGCTTTATCAGACAGAGATGAAAAGCGTCAATCTGCTACATTATCACGCCTGTTTAGTCAAGTGACATACCAGAAGGTAAGAACAAACTATATTTTTAATACATAATTGTCCCCCAAATATTTTTCACATGATTTGAAAAGTGGCAGCATGGAGTCACCACTTTTTGCACAGCATGAGGAAAAGGAATCTGCTCCATCCCCTGAAGTGAAGCCTTTGCAAGAAGGGGCGTTTGCATAGCAAATTGCACCGGACGGAAAGAGAGGAGTGGACCAGTTCTAGCCTACTTAGAAATGTACTCTATTCATGCCCATGGCTCTCATTTTCCAGTCATGGTCATAAAACTTTCCACTTCCTCCAAAGATGGCCATCCCCATTCCACATGCCCTGCAGAATGTTGGATCAGTGGGACCCTTGGTCTGATCCAGTATAACTTTTCTTACAGTCTTATATTCTTATTTTGTTTCACTGCTGATAAGAGTGGAAAGTGAAGAGGAAAGTGCCTAAGCACATAGATTGATGCACATAATTGCTGGATTGCTCAATGGGGGGCTCCAAACCCATCCAAAACATGTTTTGGAAACTACTGAGGACATGGGATGTGTGCCCACATTCCTGGAGTTAAAGACAAGGATTTTCAGAGTAGAGGGCCCAATTGCTAGACCGTCAGGACATTTCAGAAGTGATTGCACAAATGCTTTTTTAAAAAATAAACCAGGGCATCATTTCTGATTGGATTTAAAACATGAGAAATTAAAGTACTGTTTTTATCAATTCTGAATATTTTCTTATTATTTATATGCTGAGTATGTTTTCCTGTTCTGAATAAAACATTCTCTGCTTGTCCTCAGCCATATAATATTGTGGTTTTAAAATGTCATGTACTAGTTTTGTATGGTACATATTTGGCTTCCACTGTGGAGGCAAATATTTAGATTTTTAAATATTATAATCAGCACAGAAAAGTATGAGTTTGCTGAATGGTTTTGGGGGACACTTTATATAATATGCAATATAATCGATCTTTGTATTTAGTAAGAAAACACTGAATGCAATGCCAGTAATGAAATTCCTTGCATAATTAAAAGAGCTCTTATCATTTCAAAAATATGTATTTCTTAGGGGGCTGCCATTGTCCGGATGCTGTCCAACTTTCTGACAGAACGACTGTTTATAAAAGCACTCAGTGTGAGTTTTAAAATGTCTACACAAAGACTTAGCATATGGAAAATTTGATTTATGTCTTAATTCTTGTTTTTTCAAATGTATTATCAGTGATAATTGAATAATTATTATACTTCTTTTATTGCAGTCCTATCTGAATGCATTTGCCTTTTCAAATACCATCCAAGATGATCTATGGAATCACATCCAAAAGGTGCTTAAAATATTTAGTTGTTACTTAATTACTTTGCTATAGCAACGGCCCCTAAAATGGGTTTGGAACCAACCATATCTGACTTTGTTCAGGACCAGCAAGTCTGTATCTTACTCCATAAACCTCTTTGACTTGCATCCAGGTGAGGCCTGAAGTCTTTGTGTAAGTGACACTTCATTTGGCACTATAGTCCCCTTCCCCCAATCTCTGGGCACTCATGTGTTAGCGGCCACCAAAGAATGACTGCATTAGGGAATAATGTAGAAACATCAAACCAATACCATATTTTCCTTGTAGAACATTTCTGGTATAGTGTAAAGATAAGGTGGGATGCTAATATTGTAAGGAAATTTCACGAGTCACACTTGTTACTAGTTTCTTTTCCAAAGTTCCTGGCTGTTCCAAGCTGAGGTAGAGGTAGAAGGAAGAACAGAAGTGGGGAAAGTTAAGGAAGTCCTGCTGTTTGATATATTGTACTGAATGGCCCCATCAAATATCAGGACTGATGTAGTCCGGCAACATCTGGAGCAACTTATATATCCAAAGGTACAACTTCCATAATCCCTGATCATTTATCATGCTTGCTGAAACAGAGAATAATTGGAGTCCAACGATATCTGCCTCGTACTAGGCAAAGAAAGAAAATTTGCCTCACAAAAGGAAATCACCACCCAATTTCAAATACTGCTTAAATCATGACCCAGAATTAGGAGCCCTTGGAGACTGAAGCCTCCAGTAGCAGTGACTCCAGGGAGGGCACCAGAACCAGTGTCCTGGACTCCATGTGTGAATCACATGACTCTCAGAAGATTCTGGTGCCCCCTCTGAAGAGTGGACTTCAGTCTCCTCTGCTGAACAAGGAGATCCCGAGGAGCACTCCGCAGCCAGATGCTGCTGCTTCTAGCCTTCCTCAGAAGATCCCAATCCTTGCAGGGAAAGGCCACAAGCCCTTGAAGAGGCAGATGCAATGCCTCAGCGGGTGTGGTTACTGTAAAGTGTTCCTATAAATGCATGTCAGTTGCTTCCAGGCACTGCGGGGTTAAACTGTTAGTTTTGTCCCTTCAGGAGTGCTGACAAGATACTGAAATGAATGCTAGTTTCAGTTGTGTTTCAGCCACCTCAGTCAGCCCCATCATTCTGTTGCTCAAACTAAATGATTTCCTGATGGAGTATCACACCCAAGGACTGTCAATCTCATTATCTAGGTGTTGTTGCATACTAGTGTACAACTCTAGGAAGTGTTGACATGACTTGATAGGGAAAACAGGAAGCTTGGAGTTCCTATTCATGTCCAAAGTCATTGGAAGAAGCTAAAACAGTGCTGACTTTCTTTGTCCCCTCCTCAATTTCCAGGCATGTAGCCAGGCATTCTCTGGGAAAATGCTTTCTGGTCCAGTTGCCTCTAGCTCTGAAATGCTCTCAGCTGATTTCTGGATCCTCTCTTGACCCTCCCTGACTTCTTTTTTGTGTGTGACTATAAGTGTGTATATTATTTCTCAATGAAACCTGTGCTGTTGTGGTAGTTGTCATCCCCTGTGATGACCCAGTCTATGATTCCCTTGTCAGGTTACTGTGCTATTGGTTCTTGTTTTGGGGGCCCATCATACAGAATTCTGTAAGATAGTGCGCTGTACTTCTGTCAATGGAAAAACAAGTGTGGAGTCAGGAATTTGTTTTAGGACCATGGACAGCTCTAGTCAAACAACTGGCTTTTACAATCTGGTGCTGATTTTGGACTTTCTGAAGATCAGAGAGCCTTAAGGAGGCTGTCTGCTGTCTTGGAGTCCACTAATCCATCAACTCTGTGATTGGTGCCAAGCAGGCCTTGAATCTACTGATGTAGAGGGACAAGTTTCTCAATGTAATCTGGCCCATGAGATGCGGTTCAAAAAGGTCTGACTGGACTTCCAGCTGATGCTAGGAACTGGTTCGGGCACTGTGGTAGAACCCAAACCGGGATCATCACTTACCCTGCTGATGGTCCTGATCCTGTTGGCCCTCTTCTTCTGACTCAGAGCCCTAGCTGATGGTGGCAGTCAGGGTCATGCAAGCCCTGCTCATGAAAGTGGGTCTGCTACTTTGGTGAGACTTCAGTGGCCAGAAAAGCTAGGACTACTCCTGTATGTACTGGCTTATGGTGCCCCACATACCAGATGTTCATGTAAGTGCAGCGATAACATTATATAAGGCAAGCTGTATTCTAACCAGAACTTTTTTTGAAGGTAATAGATGAAGAGAATGACCTCCAATTGCCAGCACCAGTAAAAGTTATAATGGACTCTTGGACCTGCCAGGCTGGCTTCCCACTTCTAACAGCAAATTTCTCCTCTGGGAAAATCAGCCAGGAAACATTTTATGTAAGAAAAGGAAAAAGCAGTGCAAAGTATGTCTTCTTCAATACCTATGTTTAGTTTAGAAAAAATAATGTTAGTACTGATGTGGAGGTTTGAATTGTAGAAATCTATTTAAGCCAGTCAATTTTTCCTGTTAATTACAATTATGCATGGGGCTGAAGTGATGCTGAAGTCAGTTAGTGGTAACCTATTATTAGCATAGTGAAGATCCTGGAACCACACCTGTGACTTATACTTAACGTATAAGGAAAGAAACTGTTCCTTATACTTAAATTATTTCATAGCATTTAAACTGTGTATTTACATAGATTGAAGAAATAATTATCCATTTTTTGTTTTTAAGTAACACATGGATAATTCCTATTTCTTGGATGAGAAATGGAACTATGCAGCCTTTAGTATGGCTGGATAGCAGCAGCAGTAAGTACTTTTTCCATGTTGCATTGGTTGTTTGCAGTATGAAATCTTGCATCTTTGTAGTAAACTCATGAATACAAAATAATCATGAGTATTTATTGTAATTTCTCCAATTTATGAAGCAGGTACTTGTTCTTAACAAGCTTGAAAATACTATTTGATTGTAAATGTAAATGATCATATAAAAAACTTTGACTAGATAACCTCCCTCAGGGTGTCCAGTGAGGACTGAGCTTGCTGAGTGATCATGAAATGCTCACTGGCTGTTGCTGGGGGTAGGGACTGAAAACAATTGGGAAGGGAGGACAAAATGGAGTATCCTGGAAGACTACATGATACTTGGAGCCCTGACCAGGAGCATTCTACACTGCAGCATTATGTTGCAATTACAAGATGCACCAGAAAATGATTTTTTTTTAAAAAAATCTCCAATGTTTAGTGTTCTGAACTGTCTTGCAGTGATTCTGCCTGTGAAATTCCTTTCCAGGAAGTATATACTTTATGAAATGCCATTTGGAAAATGTAATGTTGTGCAGGCAAGAGGTAATAACATGTGTCTGTGCAAGGATACAGTGCTTCCTTTTCTTCTGCCCACACTGTGCATGGTGATGCTTGGTTGCAAAGGTTGTGAATAGCCCATCAATATAAAAATGTAGCTGCCAAACAATCACCAGCAGCCTTCTTTCCTACTTTGGACCTGGGGACAAGGCAAAGATTGCTTTGCAAATGTGAGGATAATCCCCGCTCATGTCCTTGCTTTCCTCTGCAGCTTCAAAGTAAGGAAGAAGCTGACCTATCTGAGGAGGTCTTCATTTCTCTGTATTTTGTTAGAAATAATAGAATCATGGAATAACAGAGTTGGAAGGGGCCTGGAAAGCCATCAGGTCCAAATCCGTGCTCAGTGCAGGACCCCCAGTTAAACCATCCCTCTCAGATGGCTACCCAGTTGCATCTTGAATGCTTCTAGTGTGGAAGATACTACAGCCTCCTTAGGTTCATTGTTGTGCTGCTCTAACCATCTGGAATTTTGTCCAGCTATCTAGCTGGAATCTGGCTTCCTGTAACTTGAGCCCATTATTCTGTGTCCTGCACTCTGGGATGAGCAAGAAGAGATCCTGCCCTTCCTCTTTGTGACAACCTTTCAAGTACTTGTATTTTGACAGCTGTATTGGTCATTGGAGGCCATCATGAAGGCAATTACCTATGTAGACAATCCATCCATATCCTTTGGTATTTTTCTAAGGACAGCAAACTATGTAGTGTTGTCTTGTCTTGTAGACCAGCTTAAAAGTCAGACAGAACCTCATTCAGGATACCACATTGAATATTAGTATTAAAGAAATTCTTGTGACTGTTTGGGTTTTTATGAAAGAGGTGTTGGGGGAACTAGGCTTGTCACCTAAGAGGAAAGGGGGATGCAGCCCCCAAAAGTTTGAGGATCACTTCAGTTAGTCTGTGTTTGAGCTACATATAACCCTTGAATTTAAAAGATGGTGAACAAGCCCTTGATAGTATAGTGGATGTTACTTGGTCCTGTGATATATTTCTTGAGCCTGTAGGGGTACAATTGCCACTGGGACTTGTATCTCAGGTGGTCTGATGTTTCTGATTATTATTATGAGTAGAATGGTATGAATTGGTGTCCTGCAACAGCAGGAGGTTGGACTCAATGGCCTTCATGGCTCCTTCCAACTCCACTATTCTATGATTCTGTAAATGGAATTAAGCACAATTTATACAATTTTGCATTTGTATTAAAATGATCTTTCAGCCTTTATTGGCATATATTATTTTGTAGGCAAGTACTACTAAATTAATGCCAACTTTTTCACTTCATGCTTCCTACAGAAATATTTTCTGAAATGGAAATAACAGATTCAGAACATGATTGGATTATTTTAAATGTGAACATGATTGGTTACTATAGAATTAATTATGAAGAAACATACTGGAGAAAAATTGCCAAATGGCTTGAAAAAGACCCAAAGGTAAGGGAATTTCTATGGAAGTGACCTAGGGTCTGTTGGAGCACATCAGTTGTCCTGCATGACTGCAAATGAAGGTTTGCCTGCCAGGAGGAGACAGAGGTGCCAACCTGAGGAAATGCAGAAATATTTCTCTATAATCAAACCATGTCTAACACCAGCATGGCAAATTCCTAGCCATGTTCATTGTGAAAGATGTAAAAGGGAAGCAGTGACTTACCTTAACAACAACATTTTTTCTACAAGTATGTAATTGGAAAGTTACATATACAGCTAGTGAATGGAGACTCTTTGTTAGTGAGTGAAAATACCTGAGTTTCAAATGATAAACTTTTCATACATTTTGCTTTACATTGCTAGTTGAAGAATTGTACACCATTGTAATTCAAGTATAAATTTGACATCAAGTATTGAAGATGCTTGCAAATACCTTGAGACACAGTAGTTGTTTTGCTTCATAATGAGCTGCTTAGAACCATTAAACACAGAGAACCTCTTTACAGGTGATTCCTGCTGTCAATAGGTTGCAGTTGATGGAGGATGCCTTTCAGCTGATGAGGTTAGTACATCTTGTATAGATAGCTTTTGCTAGATTTATCATGGGATTCACTGGCCCATTTGGGTTTCTTCTCTCCTGCTTGACTTTGAAAACAGATTGTTGTGCTCAAAGTACACTATAGTTATATGGTCGTATTCAGACTTACTCATGCTTTTGAGTAGGTTGATGAGATCAAGGAGCAGGTTAGCCAGATGACCACAAGTCCTGTTGATTTCAGTTGTTCTACTCTGATTATATTTGTATCTAATCCATAGTTTAAGGAGCAGCTGTAAACTGCATTCTCAGAAGTAAATCCTCCTAATTCCATGAGGACCTGCTGTTCTGTGGGCTGTGCGAGATTGCAGTTGTACAATAAAATCCTTACTAAAACCTGAGTCCCATTGGCCTCTGCAAAATTGAGAACCTGATAAGTGTAGTTAGAAGTTCAGCCTTAGTCCTGCAGGTTCTTCCCATTGTATGAATTATCTTCCTCGATTTATTTATTTATTTATTTTCCAATTTATATCCTGCCTTTTTCCTCAAAGGGCTCAAGGCAGCTAACGTCATTCTCCTCCTCCATCTTATCCCCACAACAACAACCCTGTGAGGCAGGTTGGGCTGAGAGTCTGTGACTGGCCCAAAGTCAACCAGTTGGCTCCATGGCCGAGTGGGGACTCGAACCCAGATCGCCTGAGTCCCAGTCCCATGCTCTTCACCACTACACCACCCTGGCTCTTTGATCCTGCCTTCCAAACTCTGCCTCTAGCTTATTTTTATTCCTCTCTGCTATGAGGTTCTGTGCTCAGTGCACCGAGCCTCCCTTCTCCAGACTCAGCCTGCCTTGCCTCCCACACAACTCCATCCTTTTCTAAACTGCCAACCTGGAACGCCACCATTCCGTGTCCTTGGGACGGAGTATATCTTGCTGTCTGCTGTAGTTCACTCTGCTAGAAATTTCATCCATCTGTCCCTGATGCCCAAACAAATGAAATGTGGAGTTCTGGTTTCACAGTGTATAGTTACCATTGTAGGATTCAATTATGTTGAGATCATTTAAGCGTGGTACTCCCTAAAAACAAATGCCAATAATTGTTCTAGTTTTGCACCACCAATCCCCATGAGTAATTGACATATCCAATTAGAGTTCCTAGTTCACAGTCCATATTTGGCATGGTCATTTCACCCAAAACCTATGCTCTAAGAACAGAAGGAGAGACATGCTGGATTGGGCCAAGGGTTCATCCTGCTCAGTATTCTGTTTAGAGTGGCCAGTCAGATGCCCATGAGAAACCCACAAGTGGGACAGGAAGGCAAAAGCACCCTCTTGCCCATGTTCCCAAACAACTGGTGTACCTAGACATACTGCTAAGTTTCACACTAGGGTTCGTTTGTTTTCTAGTGTCCTGCATTATTAAGAGAGTGTTTTGTACCCACTGCTACCTGAAAGTGTGAAATTATCTAATCCAAATCAACTGCCCCAAATCAACTTGCTTTATCTCATCAAAACCTATTCTGAATTTTGTTTTTAGAAATTGAATTCTATTCAACAAGCAATCTATGCTATTCAACTCTTGTGGTTATTAGTAGAACCCAACAGTGGGGTTCCGCTTCTTTAAAAAGAAAACTCCTAGACAATCATATTCCTTCTAATTGTGAACTATCTTTATTGACTCACATGACTAGTCAAAACATAGGTAACTTTTCCCCTAGGTATTTTAATAGCCTAAAGCCTTCCTTTATAAGGTACCGTAAATAAGACTAGTAACCAAGTTAGGCTTTCCACCTTCTCAGTTTCATGATAGCCTCACAGAGGCCACACACAGTATTTAAACGTAGCACAACAAAAGTAGTTATATATACAGCATTTTTCCACACCCTTAATTTGGAAAGCTTCTTCACAAAGTTTCTCACCTTGTATTGCTCCTATGTGCAACTAGTAAATATATGGATGTACCCTTGTTAATCTGAGCCACAAGTTTTCACCTTATCTCTGGAATGTCTCTATTTAGTAGACTCTTGTTCGCTTCTCACTTTTCTCTACCCACTGCCATGCTTTTATTTAAACACTCTGGTTGTTACCAAACACTGTGTTTCTTAGTGCAGCACATCTTAAATTTGTTTATTTTGTATTCATTCTGAAAATTAGTCATGGAAGTACAACATTGCATCAGTCTGTCTTCTCTGGGGGAAAGGAGTTTTGACAGCTATGTAGCTCTGGCCCCACTATGAAATGGGGTTTCGGCATGGAAATTTTAAAAAATTCCATAAAAAACCATACAGCTAGCTGGTAAAACTTATTTTCCTTTAAAAATAGGATGGGTTGCCTGGGGAAAAGTTCAAAATGTGTATTAACTGGAGGTTTGTCAAGGTTAAATGTGAGAAAGTGTCCACTCAGGTAACAGAATGTTCTTTTGTGAGTTTCCTTATTTCAGGGGCATTTGTGTGTGTATAACTATTAACTAATAATTATTTCATTTTCCTATGCCTCACCCCCCCCCCCACCACCCCAGTTTATGAGTGTGCATTTATCTGTCAAGCAATCACTCCATCTATCTTATTGAACATCTTGTGTATCATTCTATTAAATAGGGCTGGTTACACTGCATATGATACTCCCCTGTATTTAACTAAGTACCTTGGAAAAGAAGATGATCTCATTGTATGGAAAGTAGTACTGAATCATCTAGAAGCTGGAAGCTGGAAGGTTATCCAGAGTGATAATGAACTATATCCAGTGTTGAAGGTACACATATCCTGAAATTTACACTGTATAAGTGAAAAGGCTGTGGACAGCTTCTGAGTATATGTTTTCATGTCTGACCATTTAGAATGACTATAAAAAGAATGACTGGACAAGGCAAATTTGTGGTATTCTGTTTGGGATAATTTTTATTCAGAAGATTGGGACGAGACATGTGGCCCAGTTCATAGAAAGATTTTTCTACCTGCTGTGAGAGAGGAGTGAGTTCTTGCCCTGCCCTGCTACTTTCATTTCCTTCTTACTTTTTCTTTACTCATACAAAAGTGAAAGCATGACCTGCCAAAACATTGACCTTGTTAGTCTTCTCCTCTTGCAGTCTAGCCATGGATGGAGGATTCTGCAGCAGCCCGGCTGCAGGAGGAATGAGCATTGTGCCTGGTGATAATGTACTCAAACGGGATAATTTTTGGGGGAAGAGGGGGGTGGGGTTAAGGTAAGGGCAGGAAACCTGTAGCCCAGATGTTATTAGCTTTCAACTCACATTGTAACAACTTGGGTCGTGTCTGGGTTGTACTTGTATGTAGTCCCAAACCCACACAAGACTTGTTTTCCTGAAATTATGGCACGTGTTTGCCATGAATGTGTGTGCTCCTCAGTTCTCTATACTAATACCTGCTTGGACACACCTGGAATACGAAGGGTTTAAAATGAGGTTTGGTGTGGCATTTTTTTAAAACCAGGATAATATGAAAATAAGAACCTCATTCTAGAGAAAAGATTTAGAACCTATAAACATATATCTGCCCTGCAAGGGCCTTGTGTAGCCAAAGGTAAGGTTGGTGGGTGAGCTGGTTTCCATTTGGAAAACAAGCTTTTTTATATACAGTACTTGACTCCCTATGTTCTGCTAAGGAAAAAGTGAGTACAACTTCCTCTGCACCCTTACTTCATTGCTAAGGTCCATTCTGTTCTGCCTCCTACTTAAATATTTTAATCCAAATGGGAAATTATTAAACTGTCCATGATGTGCTGATCCCTCCCATCTACTTTTTGTTAATCCTATCCCCCTTGGAATCTTGACTCAGCCCCTCATTTCTCCCTTCTTATGTTCATTTGTTTAATCTCTTCGACACAGGAATTACCTTGCTCGGTTTCAATTATATCTGATCTTCATAACTGGATCACTGGACTTGCAATCAGTTCTTATTCTCCAGTATGATTTTCTCTTGCCCATTCTTCCACCATGACTTTATAATCTCTACGTTCTGTTTCAGATGCTTATTTCTTCCTCTTATGTTCTCTTCCTAAAATGAACCATACCACGGGAGGACAAGTAGATCACAGAAAAGCATCTATGCTAGCAACATCAGTCCCAACAGCATAGCCAATGGTCAGGTATAATCGTAGCTGTAGCCCAACAACACGCACAGGACCACAGGTTCTTTACTCCTCATCGAAGGTCAAAAAATGTTTATCTAGACAGGACCAAGATTTTATTCTGCTATTTCATCCATGAAATGTTTTCAGCAGCTTCAGGTTGGAATGCCATTTTTCATGTTAAAATATAGATAATTATTGGAGATATTTGGTGAAACCTGACAATGCCCACTGTCCAATGAAATGGACACTGTTTGTAGAACTGATTCCCCCTCTCCCCTCCATGCGAGAAGGAAAGTAAGTCCAATTGCATGAGAAGACATTCACTTGCACAACATGGGATGCCACCCATTATTATCACCTGTTGCTTGCATTGAAAAGAAAACTAAGGATTGAAGGAAATGGATAAATTGGAGAAGGGCGAGATAGCTGCTACAATTAATATCATAGTAACCAGCTGAATACTGGAGACCTTTATACCAGAGCTGGACACCTTTGTCTTCCAGATGGTTCATAGGATTTTTTGTCCAAAACCTCTGGAAGTCCACAAGTTGCCCTTCACTAATTTACACACTTACTTCGTAGAAGTCTCATGTAATTACATAATGTTACTTCTCAGTAGCTATGCATGGAACCCCATTGTTAGCCTTAAGATGTTTCTTAAGCAAAGGAAGATAATACAAGCTTTTACAAAGTAAGCAAACACTTTCTATGCAAGACCTTAATGTTTGTTTTAGTGTTAATTCTCTTGTATCTTGAAACAATTTGTGCTCACAGTGATAAGTCCGAACAGCCTGGCTTAATCATTATGATTGTTTTCTTTCATAGCAACATTTTAGTGAAATGTAGTAAATTCCAGATTATTTCCTTATATCAATGTACAGCAAAACACTTGCATATACTTAATATCAGATCTTGACATATTTTCACTAATTGAATCACTACTCAGTGATGTTGGGTACTTGTTAAAGTTCATAAATTCTGTGGAAAAGATAATTGTGAAACACTTTCTAGGATTTTCATTTTCAAAATTCTCCCTTCCAAAACCCAGAATACGTAAATCTTCATGCCAAACTCCCAGTAGTGCTTTTTGGTTGCAATACAATTAAACTAGAACTGATAACAGCATTTAAGGGATAAAAAGGAGATGTTTGTATTAGTTGAACCGAATAAAAGTAGAATGCCTGCAAATTAAATAATAATTTTATCTCTTGTTCTCTCACCTACAAGAAATACTTCTTACCACGAATTTCACCAATATACCATCAATATGAAGATCTTCTTCGTCAGAATCTTGATGTGTTGACAGATGACTATTCTCCTATGTAAGCCCTTATGTGTTAATTTAAAAATGCCACCACCTGCTTTCTTAAAAAACATGAAAATAAGCCCCAACTGTGTCAGTTATACTCATTTCCAAAATATGTTTATTGGAGTAAAATGATACATATAGGTTCTTCCATACCAGGTGAATTGCTGTATTTTGTTGCCTATTTTTTTGTGTGATAGCCAGACTACAATGTTACTGAATCATTGTCTTGTTTCCAATGTTGCTTGCATCTCTTTTTAGACTGCAAAAAATCTGCTTATTAAAAAATGCAGCCTCTGTAGCTACAGTTCATTTCAGCTCAATTCTTCAGGTTTTTTTTTTAAGGGGTGTGGTTTGAAGACAGGCAGTGACATTTCAGGAATTGAGTACTAGGAGTCCTTCCCCTCGAAGCACCTGATATCATTGTTCCTGCTCTGAAAAAGGTCCCAGAGCCACACAGGCCTGCTTTTCTCCTCTGCTTCACCACTGCAAACATTCAGGGTGGTGGGAAGCCCTTTCACTTTCACAAAAACCTGAACATTTGAGGCAGGAGTAGGGGAAGAGTTTCCAGTTATGGTAAGTCAGTGGTGGAAATTTGACCTGTTCACTTATAGGTACAGATAATTCTGTGAATGTTTATGAATCATAAATTTAGTGTTAGTTGCTGCAGTGACCAAACCATCAAAGCATAGACTGCAGATTAGGAATTTGCAAGATCACAGAATAAAATGGATTTGGAATAACAGAAAAGCTATTTGGTCTAACCTCATGCTCAAAGACAGGCCTATTCCATCCCATTTCTTCGAATAGGCTAATCAATCCAGACTAGAGCACATGTCCTGCAAACAGCTGTGTGCATCAGAAATAGCTTAGGTTGGCCCAAGCATGCATGAATTAGGTAGCACTGGTTTTTTAAACAAAATACAGCATGTTTAATCTCTCTTCTTTTTTGCGGGGTTGGCCAAGATTCCTTATAGAAACAATTCTTGAGACTGCATGTTGGATTGGACTCCAAGAGTGTTTAGACCTAGCTTCTGAGATCTTCACCAAGTGGATGAACAATTCCAGTCTTGAGTAAATATCATTTTCACTGTGTACATCTTTATGTAAATAGCTTGCATGTGTGATACTGCTAACTGGTTGTGGTTTATGACTCCCACAGGGAGGCAATACAAATTATTTTTCTTCTGAGGGGAGGCTAGTAAACACTATCAACAATATATTATTTATTGAACCAAGCCCTGCCACATTGACCATATGGCAGTTCTTTTAATGGGAGAGGACAAACTTCTTGCTGATGATTCAAGCCTAAATACAACACTGTCTCAGGAGTGGGCGATGGTTCCATCAGTGGGGAGAAATCCCTTTCTGCAGTGGGGGCACACATTAAGTGGACATGTTGCCAGAGCAATGAACAGTCCATGTATATTATTCTGTAGCAAAGCAGAGACAGACACTAACTCCCTGGAAGACGTGTTTCTGTGGTGTCGATTGAGATTGTGCTTGTATGTTTTTCGCTCTTCTGAACAAAGTTGTAGCGAAGACAAGGGAGGGCAGTTCCAGTTGTCTCCTCCTTACCTCATGATGGTCAAGATGGCCGTGTCTCACACTTTTGCTTTGCCTTTTGTCTGGGAGTGTGTAGGTCAGAGGGAGGATCTGTTGGACAGGGATGGAAGCTGGATCTGGTGGCCAGCTGTGGGGACAGTATGCTTCACATTGTGGAGAATCCAGTGACCTTAAAGCCCAGATAGCTTGGGAAGTGTAGCCTGCTTGTTGACTCTAGAAAGCCATCTACTTGCAAATTAAATGCTATGAAGTTGACTACTTTCACTGGTTTTGCTAGTGAACACGGATTTGATCCAGTTTGGTACCTATTGCATTAGGTTCTCCTGTTCCTTCTTTCTCTGAAGAAAAAAATACTTATCTGAGGATCTGCTTAGCCACAATTTCAGCATTCCAAGCCCCTGTAGATCATCTCACTTTTTTCAAACCCCTTAGTAAAACATGTTTTGTGAGATATGAAGAACTTTGCCTCTCAAATTCAGAATCCAGTTACCTCCATGGAGCATCTGTTGTTCTTCCGGTTTTAACTCCTGAGCTCTTCAAACTGACGGTTATTCTATTCTGGCTGTTGCTGTGGAAAATAGACTTTCTTGTGGTTGCAATTTCTGCATGCAGGTCTAGGGAAGTCCAGAAATTGTGTGAGGATCTTCCCTGTGCAAAAAAGTGGTGCTCCACACTGATTTGCCTTTTCTTCCAAAAGTTTGTCTCTGATTTTTACGTGTAAGAAGACATTTTCTGCTAGCTCTTTTCATCACCTTCAACCCCTGCCAAGTCTGTTCTTCATTCCTCAGATGCCTTTGGGGATTTAGCTTTGTAAGAATCTCAGGCAGAAGCATTTCATCACTCACCTTGCCTTTCCTTTTGTTAGGAAGGGCCCCACAAAGAGTTCCTGGAATTGTTCCATTGGTTGGCTTCTTGGGGAGTGCACACCCGCAAGCTGAGTACAGTCAATCTGAGCACATTCCCCTCTGGCAGTGGCTACAGTCCCTACAGACTGAACGTCAGAGCTAGCATTGGGAGCGGTAGTTGTTCTTGGCTCACACTCATGGGTCATGCCAATCTGGATTCTGAGACAGAGGAAGAAGGAAAAGAGGCAGAGGAAGATTGGGAACCTGGGATTCAAGACTTTGATCTGATAGAAGCACTGCTTATCTGAAGGCCACTCTTGCCAAGTGCTCAGTCAGGCTCTGAGAATAGCCAAGATGCACAAAGTATTGGGTGGGGGCACGGGAGAAGAGAGCTCGGAGCCTGACCAATCTGGCATGACTCTTGACCCCAAGATGTGGTGTCGGGAAAGGAAGGCACGCCAATTAGAGGATGGGTGTATAGAAAGGCCCTTCAGACGGGATCAAGCCCAGATGTACTCAGAAGGAGGGTTTCCAGAATTAGTTGTTTAGATTGGGTTCAGCAAACCTCTTTGAGCAGACACATTTCGTGAGGGTTGCCATTTTGGCTGTCCATTGGTGAATAAAGAGCTTTTGCAAAGAAATGGTCAGTTGCCTTGAATGTGTGAAGGGAGGAAAAGCTGACTTACAACAGGTAGAACAGACTGCTTCTGTGGACATGCTGTCCTTTTTTTTACTATTTTGCAATGGGACACTGAACTTAGATATGCAAATCGATACATTGACTACCATGGTCTTAGTTTTTCTGTGTTTTGCCACGTCTTCTAATTAGGCTGCAGCAGATTACCAGATGACATAACAAAATAACTATCAAATTGACTTAGAGAAATAAGTGATGTGTGAAGGCAGTTCCTTTCATCTTTGAACAGCACAATATTAAGGCAATCTGTAATGCAAGGATTGCTTATCCCAGTTAAAGATGCAAATTGGGAACAGATTGCAAATCAGCTAGAAGCCTCAGAAGGCTCCGTCAAAGGCTTCCCAGTCCTGCATACTGTTGCTGCAACAGCATGAGTCTTTGTGGTGGTTGGTTGTTCTTCCTCACTTGGTGTGTGGGTCCATTGCTGCAACACTTTCACTTCTGTCTCCACTCTCAGCTGCAGTTGACTGCCACTGTGTCTGCCTCTGGCTCTGCCATGCCTTGTTGGCATCTGACACTTGCCTGTTCCTGACTCTTTCTTCATTTCTGGTCCCGTTACACGTTGTTATCTTGCCCTTTATTGTCCCTGACTTATTCTCTGCCTCTAGCCATATTACATCTCACCACTGTCTGACCTGTGCCTCAGTAAGCCTTGTGCTCCTTCCACCTCCATCACCCTGGCCCTGGTGTTCTAATTGAGGATGCCTGCTGCTTATGTCTTGAGTGGACACACACTCCCAAAACTGGTTTGAGTGTTCGGGGACTCATCAGAGGAAATTGCATGGAAATCATCGGGGGGAAGAAGTATGAGATGACACCTGCTTCCTTCTCACCTTTAGTATTTTCTTGTTTGTATGTGGGGTGGGTTTTCATAGCATGGTTGTCTGTTTATTAGGCAAAACAGTTGGATTCCCAAATGTGGAGATCTGAATATGTAAACTTTCTTAGTTGGCACCCGTAACTCTAAACCTTGGTCTCATCTGTACTTTTTTGACATTATTGGGAAATGTAGCCAAGCTCTACTTAAATGTTATCACTTATAAAAACAAATTTGACATTATCTCAGGAACTTAATTGTGAAGTAATGTATTATACTGTGTCTATTCTGAGTCACATTTTCCCTTTCAGGGTTTCTGCATGTCTTAGCAAAACTATTTGTTGCTATGGTGTTCAGCAGGGTAGTGACAAAGAATGGGACTTTGTATGGAAAATGTTCAAGCAGAATAATGCAGGACTGATGGTAAAATACAACATGTTTTCTGCTCTAAGCTGCACCCGTGAGCCATGGTTACTTCAAAGGTGAATATGCTAACTTACATTTTTAGTACATTTGAAAGTAACATATTATTTGTCAAACTGAGGAATTATTATGTGCTTCATTCTTCTCTGGGCAGGGAGTTTCTACATTTTTGCCATCCTATAATCATTACTCTTAAAATTTTTGTTTATGAATAAAAGTACTTTAACAGGCATGGATTTATGGTTATGTAACTAAAGAGTGCATTGGGACCAGTCTGAAATGGCCTGTCCACAGTTGCATCTCTTCAACCAAAGAAATACTTTGTATGTGAAAGATAATTTCTTTTAGGATTCTGTGAATAGGTTGGGCTGCAGCAGGAGCTTGCTCTCAGTTGCTCAAAATACTGTTTAACTCACCTTGTTCAAGATGCTAATCTAGACTGGATCACACCAAGGCCATGTGTACAGTGTGAATATCTGCGGGGGTCTTTATGTTTACAGCTGTATGATGGCATGAGGTTCCTGCCTGCATGGAAGCCTTTGCTGTATAGGCCCCTTTTCACAAACAATCACATGATATACATGGACGAGACAGACACACCATCAGGAGTAGGCTACATGCTGGGGCTGTGTCCCCACTCAAGTGCTTTAAGTGAGCAGACATCTTGGGGTGTTTGGAAAAAGTAGGTTTAATCTTGTGTTTTAATGGCCATCTTCAGGAGCTATAAAAAGCAACAATATGTGTGTAAAACTAACCAAATTATATAATTTGGAGAGCCAGTGTGGTGTAGTGGTTAAGAGCATGGGACTGGGACTCAGACGATCTGGGTTCTAGTCCATGCTCAGCCATGGAGTCAACTGGGTGACTTTGGGCCAGTCACAGACTCTCAGCCCAACCTGCCTCACAGGATTGTTGTTGTGGGGATAAGATGAAGGAGAAGAATGATGTAAGCTGCCTTGAGTCCTTTGTTGGAAAAAGGCAGGATATAAATCAGAAAATAAATAAATAAAATTAAACATAAAGTAATGAACATTGTAAAATTGCCTATTTATACTCCCAGTTCTTTATAAAGCCTTCAGTGAGCTGTGAGGACAATCTTAATGCAGTTGCCGATAGGTGACACAAAAGAAAACTGAAGGCAATGCATTGTATGTCATACCATGGAAGTTATATATCTGCTACACAGGTATTCCTTGTAACTTGTGATAAATTGTGTTACTACACAATGGGGTATCTCTACAGTAAGGAATACGGTCTCAATTGCATGCAAGCAAAAGAATCAATTTCCTCATTGCAGCACTGGAGTTTAGAACTTGCGTCTAGAGACATTACTTAAAGTTATTTTTTAAAAACATCCTGAGGTGATTTTCTCTTTTTGGATCTATTGAGGGTGATTTCCAGTGTGCTCAAGTTTTTAAGTAAGTAAACAACACCTACATAGGGATATACACAGTCCAGTGTCTTTGGTAAGCTTGTCAAATTTAGCATTAGAAAATAAGATGTTCTTAATATTCAACACGATTATAACTATGCATATGTTTTACAGCTCTTGCCTATTACTCTTTACTTGTTCATGCAAGGTACAGATGTACAAACACTGATCCTAAAACTAATAGTCAGAAATAAATTTTCTCTCTTGTGAAATTTATATTTGTTTGGAATTACCTTCTCTTCAGGTTCTTGCAGTTCATCCTCAATGATTTTGCTATTTCACCACAATATGGAAATAAAGCAATCGAGGATGTAGCATCAAGTGAAGCTGGCCGTGAGATAGCATGGACATTTTTCAGAGAGAATTGGTTGCATCTGTATAATCGGTATGAGAAGCAGCTTTTTCATTTAATATCACTTGGGCAGAAAGAAAGATCTGTCCCCAGAAGTATTTGCATTCTAGTTTAGGCATTTTGCAAGATTCTTGCACCCACCTGAATAATAAACTACCTTGCAAATATTTATCCTAAAATAATGACTAGTTTTCTACACTTTTTACATGTTATACTTTTCATAAAGAAAGGAATGAAATACTAAGAGTTATATTCCTATATTAAGTTTGAATTTGTTTGATTCTAGCAAAGAATTTTAACAAAGACAATAGAGCTGATACTCTGTAACATCTCACTGACCTCTTAGCCTGTTATTGTTAAAGGAACATGGAAAAATCAAGGTGAAATCATTTTCCCCATCTAAACTCAGGAAAAAGCAAAATTTCCCACCTTAAGTCAGGAAATGTGTGCATTAGATAAGGAAAGATGTCTGCTTATTATATTTGTTCCCATATCTTAAGTAAGCAAAGATTTAGTTCCGATAATAAACAGAACAAAAGACAGCTCATGATGAAAATAGTTCAGTTCAGTAGACCTACAGAAGAAACACATATGATTTTCTGTTTCAAGAAATTATAAAATATGTCCCGGGGAAGCTGATAAAATATGAAATAAATATATTACTTCAAAAATCAAAGCTGGGAATCTTGAAGAAAATAATACCTGCTTGAGAAGATCTGTTCAGTGTGGGGAACATACAAAAGCAGCAGAATATAACAGTTCAGGACCAAACTATCAAATTTACTGTCTGCTCAAAAATGTCATTTGGTAAGAACATTATGTTCCTGAAATGATAATTAGAAAGTTCTTGGTAATGTGCTTTGCTTACAGTGCTTTGAAAACTAAACTTAGAAAGCTTTTAAAGTGCATTTTGTTTATAACAATGATGCTAGTCTTTTTGGTCTTTGCTGCTTTATCATTTCAATCATATAAAGATTACTTAACAACTTAAAATGAAAGACAGACTTGCTCTTACAGTCCTGTATCTAAAAATTATCTCTGTTTTAAAAGGAAGAATTTTGTAAACCCACTAATTCCATAGTGACAATTGTTTTGGAAAAGTAGTGTGAGTGACATGACTTGTCAAAGCATGATCAAGCCAAATACAGAAATGCCATCTCATGAAATCCCCAAACCATCACAAACTGGGTTTTTTCCCCAGTATGTATGTTCAACAGATTGAAAGATAAAAAGTGAATGCTGGGCACAAGGGTATGCTCAGGAATCTGTTCTCTTTAGTATACTTATTGATTTACTGGAAAAGGAAAACACAGCACTGTGGAAAAATGAGCAGATGGTGCAAAAATATTCAACACAACAGGAGCTTATTGGTTTTGATCCAGAGCAGACTTTCTGGACATCTGTTTGGAAGGGCTGCAACCCTGCAGAGGTTCCTCTTGATGGAAACGGAAAGCAGATCACTCTGTGTCCCTTTCTTTTATCACGAGGTGGCCTGCCATGGCACCGCCAACCCTCTAAGGCTTGATTTCTGGGACGAGTCTACCTGGAAAAACACCTACCCTTGTGCTCATAACAACATTTCATGGGCAGAATCCTGCTTGCAGGGTCTCGGGTGTAGCTCATTAGCTTGGGTTAAAATGGCCTCTCTATAAGTATAATGGATGTTATTGTGACAAATGGAACTAAACACTGAAACTAGAGCAAGTAGGAGAAATAATTGTGGATTAATAGATGTGTGTTTATATACCTTCATAATCCTGAGATACAGTAGTCAAAAAGCAAACACTACATGAATGAAAATTTCTGAAAATAATTGAAAAATGGAGCAGTCATTCCCTTTACAAGTGTCTCCTGCTGGATCACTGGTGGGCATTCCAAGGGGCCTGTACGCCATGCCCAATGCCCCACGCCCAGTGCTAAGTAACAGAGGGGTGGACACTGTCCTGGCACTGCTATTACTGGGCCCACCAAACTTCGTCTAGACCGGGGGTGATGCAAACCACAGTCCTTTCTTTAAACTCACCCTGCGACCCTGATGCAGCCAAGGTGACTGTTTCTCTGCTGTTAATAGAAACAAGAACACAATTATCTTCATCAGGATTTGTGATGGACATGGTGAAGGAGGTTGTAATTTTGCTGCCACCATTCAGATGTTCCAACATCACCATTTTAATTCACCTCGAGTCTCTCTCTCTCCCATCCTTCTATCTCTGCCTCCCTGACAACGGGATGGAGGTGCCATCTCTCATGAAATATCCTTGGCATAAACTTAGCATGTTATGAACATGTTTTCTCCCTTGTTAATATGTCCATCACTTTCTGTTTCAGAGATGTATTTGGAACAGTAAATGCTTTAAGCTCATTTGCTAGTACAGATATAGACTTCCAAATGGTAAGTAGAATAATTGACCCAGAGAATAATTAAATGACACAAAACAATTATGCCATTTTAAAAATGAAAGAATGAGATCTTAGAGAATATTACTATATAAATATAAATCTTTTATGTAAAAATCACTCAGAATGGAAAACCATACTGACATTGGAGTGGTAGATAAATGACTTAGAACTGTCAGATTGTTAGTTTAATCTGCTTAAAACCACTTCTGTATCTCTGATGCATTTTGGTGCAAGCTGGGGTCTGGACAGCTAGGCAACGTCCAGCTTTGTGCTAGCAGGAGATCTAGGAAGCTTAGCACACAGCAGCCTCCTTCCCTGCAGCAGAGCCCATAATCCCCTCCCTCCAAGAGTGCTGTGCACAAGGTTGAGGATCCCCCTGCCTGTGTACCTCTTGCATAAGTGGCTAAAGATAGAGATACCTTTTCCAGGCAGAGGTCCTGCTTCCAGGACGCACCTCCACTCAATTTCCAAGTATTCCCCTCAGCCCTCTGGCCACAGCTCGTCCTGTTGAGGCATTTCAATAAATGCTGGAGTCTGGACAACTAGCAGCACATCCTTTCCCAGGCAGGCCCTTAAGTCACTCCAAAATACTAAACACAGAGTTGAAGGCCCTCCTAAATGTGTGGACTGTGGTATAAGAGACTGAAGACAGAAGCACCTTCTCCAATTAGAACTGCTGCTTGTGTAAGGATCCCCTTTTTTCCTCAGTTCTTTATGGCAGAGCTCATCTTGTTGCTGGTTTTCATGTGGGCAAGACACTGGGAATTCCTTTCATTTGTTCTTGTGCCTTTCCTCAATGTTTCCTTTTTGAAAAGAGTTTAGTGATAAAGGGTTTGGACATGAGTGAGGTGTATGCAGGATGTTTATTACAGTATTGATGAAAATGTATGGCTATGAATAACATCTAGAGAGTAACAATATGTATTCATTATTCTAGTTACAGGATTTTATTAACAATACAGTTGAGCCAAAAAGAAGAGAACATGCCTCTTTTAAGATGACGTTGGAAGCAAATGCAAATAAAAAGGAAAAAGAATCTGTGACTAAGATGATTAAATGGCTAAAGAAGAACATGGATGACTGATATTTAGTAACACTTTCAAAAATCTATTTTTAGTACCTGAGTTGCTGATAATTCATCCTTTGTTTTAAAGCATCTGTTATTTTTGTGTAGAAATTAACGTGACTTCATGTTTCAGGCAGGGGTGATCAAGTGATATTCTGCCCAGGGCAAAGCAAGGTACTTTATTGTCAAAAGGACTAAAAGTGCCGGGCAATACATGCTTGCATTTCATCCTGAATTCTTCCTCTGTGGGTAATGAAAGAAATATATTTTAAAGTTTTGCTTTCTTCCCTTTTAAATGAAGGGAAATAAGATGATGAGAAAACACAATCTGCAGGGTTATCCTAAAAGTACACAACAGGAATATGGTTTCTGATCTTTGCAGACAGCAGTTGATAGAAGTTCAGAATTAATATTTTAATACTAATTTTTTTTGCCAAATCTATTCAAAATCACTTGACAAATTCTCCAGAGATATTTATCCAAAATTATTGTTAGGCCTTTTATAGAATCCATGTAGAACACAAGCCCTTACCAAGGAATATTTATGAAATACTGCCTGACTTTTTACATAAAAATAAATTGTTCTGGCAAAGTGTTCGTATTCCAGTTTAATAGTAAACAGGGAAAGAATAAACCATGTAAGGGAGAAAAAGATACAGCATAATCCATCACTATTTGTGGTGCATTCAGTCATGCTTAACTCTTTCCTGGATTTTAGCCAAAGCATCAAAGAACAAAACAGGAAGTTATAATGCAGGATTACAGTAAGTTAGACAAACACCTCTGGAGTAGGGCATCAGGGATAAATGCCAAGGGTGGGCAACCTGCATCCAAAGGACTGTATGTGACCCTCACCCTAATTTCAAAAACTTCCTTGATGCAGTCCTAAAAGCAACCTGTCACTTCCCTAGCAGGTTGTCAAATGGGAAGGAAAAGGGGGAGTTGGCAGGGAAAGACCAGTATGATGTGCTCGTTTCTCCCATGATGGGCAATGCAAATCTACAGAAAATGATGCAATGGTGTTAGCTATTATTCTGTATCACAAATCAAAGCATCTTTGCAATACTCTCTGTATTCAGAACAGTGTTTTTGCCTCTCTCTTAAGGAGTTACCTAGATCAAAGGCTGTGCATGTGTGATTGAAAAGCAAACTAGCACCCAGGCCAGAACATTGGAATGTATTGCACATTGGGCTGAAGAATGTTGTTGTGTACTTGGCTTTGAGATAGAATGCCATATGGAATTGCTCCTTTTTCCATTTTCTTCTTTCCTTTTTATGTTTATACAGTGCTGACATTTTAAATAAACAAGCCATTTTAATCAATATTGCCATTTTGTAAATGTTTATGATGCAACTTGTGATAAGATAATATAGTTGATTGCCAATGATACTAGTTTCCTGCCCGCTGTTTCTTAATAGTGGTGTTGTGCCTTCTATAAAATACATTGTTTTGTGCTGTCTTTTGCCCAAGCATTTGGAAGTTCAGGGCATTCAATAGGGTTACTGCCTTTTGGATAAGAAAGCATTGAAGGCTCATCAAGGCTCAGTAATAAACTTATTTCCCACTAAACTTTCTCACCAAGTCTCACATGATCTTTCAACAAGTGGCCTAATGCCAAGTATGAGTAATTGGAGGATGCAAAAGGATCTGTCTGCTCTGGTGGAAACCACAGGTGGGTAGCTTCTCTTTGAGAAATCTGGACTGTTAAAGGCACGAAGCATGTTTTGATTCTGATTTCAAACATACACAGACATGTACCATACTTAAGAATCTGTTTTTGTACTGAGTCAGACCATAGGTGCATCTGGCCCTGTATCATCAACACTGACTGGCAACAGCTCTCCAGAGTTTCAGGCAGAATTTTTCCAGACCTCCCAGGAGGTCCTGGAGTAGAACCTAGAACCTTCTGCACACAACATATATGCTCTACCACTGAACCATTGCATAGAGTCAGTCCTAAATATGCCAGACTGTAACTCAAGTTACAGTCTTCTCAGATTCTTCAGATTCAAAGGAGGTGGAGGGGTAAAGGTGGGCAGATGACTTGGCTATTTCGAAGTTACAAGTGAAGATAGAGCATGAGAACTGCCCCCCACCCTTGGAAGAAGAAAAACCACTTCAGCACTGGGTGCGGGGAAAGATTGAGAGGGAGTTCCTTGAAATAAGAGGGACAGTGAAGATGTGCTCCCACCGCCTAGCCCGCAAGCGCCACCATCTCTCTACCCCGAGAGTGGAGTCAGACTCTTCCTAAAACAGAGGCAAGGAGGAGAATTTTCAGTTTGGATTCAGCTCTTCCCATGGGTAGGTGCTTCTTCCACATCTACAGGAGAACACTACTTTGATTTAAGCTTTCTTGTAACCTGTAATGCTCTAAGGACATTTTTCTAAGGTTTTGTCTAAGTCTGCTGGAAAGTGGAGGCAGCAGGGAGACTGCTCTCAACAGCTGTTTACACTTAACCTACTTTTGTGAAATAATGGTGATGCATCTTGGCTTACTTGCGTAACTGCAGATTGGCCATCTATTTAGGCAATTAAGTACTCTCAGGTTCCCACGGAAGGTTCCTGCTCACCTAAGCTAGCCGCTGAATTCTCCCAGGCAGTGATCGCTTTTATGAGTTATACTTTGCTTGAACAACCTCTTCTTTCTGGCTCTGGTATAGTTCTGTGCATTCTCACATCTGGCTTGCTGGCTCCATGTTCTGGACCGCTTCTTGGTCCTGTTTCCTGTTTATGCCACAACTCAGACTTCCTCTTAACATTTGACCCCTTGGTCCTGTACCTTTGACTGCTTAGCTCAACAATTGGCTCCTGAAGCATATTAGACAGCTGCCTACAACCCAGCTCTAACAGTTTGTAGCTAGCAGTAGAATTCTCAAAATAGAGAGCTAGACTTGGGTTGGTCTGCAGCTGCTTGGTTCTGGCCTGTTATTCATTGCCAGGTCTGGCTAATCTTGATGCAGGCTCCTGCTCTGGCCAGAGTTGCGTGATGGCTGAATGCCCAGAGGATGGTCTACTCAGGGCATGCTTGGGGCTTGAGTCTTGGCAGGTGAACTGATCCTGTGCAGAGAATGGTCTCTGAACTTTTCTTGGGACAGCTGATACCTCTGAAGAGTTACTGATTTCACTCCTTATACCATTGTCACTCTGCTGGATTTCTGGACAAACTCTGACACAATGTGAACAACTTGTCCTGTTGTGCAGTATTAAAATATTTTGTTTCTAGAGGCTTGGAGTGGCACACTTGTGTACTTGTTTCATCAGTCCCTTGCTAATGCTTTTTTTGTAGGGAGGTCATAATTCCACTTACACCAGGGAAGATTATCAGTATATACAAGATTCAAGTGTATCTGGGATAATTACTGGTCCCTGCTCCAAAGATGTTATTAGTTCTAGAATTCAGAAGGAACTATTAGGTGTGTGGTGCAGCAGTGATTATAAGAAATTAGATAGGAGAAACTTGGATGCTCAAAATCCCCTCCCATTCATGATGCTCATCGCTTCACATTGGGCCAGTCCTGCACTCTCACCATAAGTGACAGGGTGTATATTTTCCTGAGGATACAGGCATGGAGAAGTTCCTTGGATCTTAGTGAAGGACAGAATCATGCCACCTAATCATCTTTGTAGATTGGAGGGAGTGTGGGGCGCACCCCTATCAAAATTGGGTGGATTGTTCTTGGCAATTCATGCTTGCACAGCATCTCATTCTCACTTCATCACACCCCACATTAAGAACACAAGAATATACGAGTAAGAAGAGTCCTGCAGATGACCAAAGATGGATCCATTCCAGCATCCTGTTCCTGCTTTTCCTCATTTATAGCTGCTTACCAATGCACACGTACAGTAGGGACACATCTCAAGGCTCTTGCGTCTAGAGTTACACTGTGTGGTGGCATAAATTGAGGTACTCAGTTAGGAAAAAGCCACAGATATAAAACTAGCCTTCCACATTACAGTGCACAACTACTAGTGAGGAAACAAGCAGAAATTAGAATAATCAGGCACAAGATTAATACAGAAACACAAAGGTGATTATATGCACCATCTTTGATAGGACTGGTCAGGAAATAGATGTCTTTGTGTAGAAACACCCACAGGGTCCTTCAAAGTCTTGGCAGGATGTTTGTGTGTGATGGCTTTTTCCAGGGGTATACAGGTAAGTGGCTCTATAGTTCAAGGCCAAAAAAGAGGGAGAAAACAAAAGAGGCTAGTGACTACAATATCTCTTCTCCAGGTTTGGGTCTGACCATTAAAGAGCTAGACATCTATGAACCCTACTCGATGTGGCTGCAGCTACATAGGTAGTCCCTCTTAAAGTTCAAACTGGAACCCAGAGTGAATAAATTGTCCCACTGACAGTGTGAACAGTTTTACACATATCTGTTATATCCCTTACTTGCCATTATCTAAAGGAAAAAGCCCCAAATGTTGCAAGCTTTCCCTGTAGGGAAATTGCTCCAGTCCCTTGCTCATTGTTGGTTGTTTTTCTGTGCCTTTTCCATCTCTGCAGCATCTTTTTTGAGGTACAGCAACTAGACTGCAGGGTATGATCCATCTGGTTCTAGTTTTGGTTGCAGGTTTTTGGACATAAAGGGGAAACTGTTTTACAGAAATGGATCTGTCTGCTGAAACCTTTGTGCAAAAGGAGAGCTGAGAAGGCAGTGTGCTTCTCCAGGGCATAGGTCTGGCATGATCGTTTGTGAAGCTGAGAATGTTTCATCTTTGAATTGGGCTTAGGAGACCTGATGTGTGTTATGTTCCTTCTCTTTTATTGAGTATAATTTCACTTGTACCCATCCACAGAATCTTTTTTGCATTTTCTACCACTCCTTTCTGCCAAACAATGGAACTCAAGGTGGCTAATAAAAATCTCCATCAGATTTGGCCTGGAGGGTTTCATTTGAAATTTAAGCCTCTTACAGTAAGCTGGATCCTGGCTAATGCTGTAATCCCATTTAAATCAATGGGACATGTTGGTCATGAGTAATGCAAATATCATGGATTTCTGTAGGACTAAAAAATGACTCACTTAACCTGGATCCAGCCTAATAGGTTTGTATTTTGCCTGTTATATTTCCAAAGGCATACTTTGTATTCAGGGAGAACCAGACTGTCCAAACGCCTTAGTGGCTGCATTTAATTTTAGCATCCATATTTCTGAGTTTAGCACCTGTGATGAATATTGAAAAATGCTTAAGTTGGCTAGCATAACCTGGATGCAAGATAGTAACAAGAAACAATCTGATGTAATAGGCTTTTCATTTCCACATCATGTCTTTGAATGTCATAACACTAAGCCTTAAGCAGCCGCTCAGAGGCTTGTATTCTACTCAGGTGTAGCTCTTAGTCTTGTCAAACGTTCATGTTTTCATTATTTGCCAAAAGTCTGCTTTTAGTAAAACCAGATATAATAAAATTTATTTAATTGCTCTTTTGTATAACTCATGCATTCTTCACTGAATACAGAATGAATAAAAAAAGTATGCTAAATATTTGGTTTGTGC